TAATAGTTATAAGAGGGTCACATACATCCACACACACACACATACATACAGACATACGGTCATCATCGTAGAAATGTTCGGGGAAGCCTCCTCGACCCTCAGAACGTCGAGATCTGTTGAGAACTCGATTTTTGCAAAATGGGGTGAAACCAATATCTTCCCGATTTTTAGAAAATTTTCCATTTTCTTAGCGGGAAGTTAAAAAAGTTGCATTTTACCAAAAATTTTGATAGATTTGGCTGCAAAAACTTGATTTTCGATCAGACTAAAAAACTGGCAAGCCATTGTATGGAGAACTATACTAACACGCAAAAAAAAGTTCCCATCAAATAATCACTCAAGCAAATTTAAAAAATGTAGCTTTGAAAAAAAAGGCATTTACAGATAAACTGATGGATTTGAAAGAACTGAGCGGCTACATTTAGAAGGCTATAACTCAAAAACGATTTGAGATGTTTTTTATAAGGTAAATGTATCGAATTATATAAAAAAAGAAATTTTTTTTAATTTTCTGCTTCAGAACTGTTATATTTCGAAAATAGTAGTTTTCCGTTTTGATAAATTTATATATAATATTTGAAATTTCGATAAAAATTGAAAAGCCTTGTATTAACTTACAGCACCTGTGAGAAGAAAAAATGCGTTATCCGTCAAAACTTGCAGAGTAACGAATCGAGCAAACAATTGTTATAAATAAAATACATAGCAGCAGAGCAAAAATATACCATGCTAATAAAGTAATCGTAAATTCTATTGTAATGCATTCAAGTAAACAACTTTGTTGTTTTTTTCACATGTAAATCTTTTGACAAGATTCATTAATAGAAATGGCGAACCAAATGATAAGCAACTTGGGCTTGTTGTTGTGTGCCCCTTATATTTGGCACCTACCAAGAATCTTTCGCATTTCATAGCGTTTTAATTGTCCGACAAGTACGAATATGTCAAAGCGACTTTATTTTGTGTGAGGTAACAGTTACTGACTTTGCCAGCTTTATGCATTTAAGCTTTTTCAGCGATTTAGTTTTTTGTCGGCGCATTATTTTAGCGTTTAAATATCTCGCTATTTGTCGCATGTGCCATCTAATGCACAAATTATAGTTCTTTTTGTTTTACATAAGACATGCGATATTGTTGGTGCTGCTGTTGCTTCAGCATTAATGTCCGTCCAGCTGCACAAACATAAGTATGCATGCATGTATGAAATTCACTGGAGAAAAGAAGAAGCAAATGAGATATTTCATACGCAACTATTTTCATATGAGCATATGCTTGTTTGTATATATGTACTATATAGCAATGGATGTGTGAATGTATGTTTGTATATACTTTAAGTGCTTTTTTTCATGTGCACTGCAACTTGCTAATACAAAAACACACACTTGTGTAAATATACATATATATAAATAAATACATAAATATATACACTGACAACCGTTATCCGCCAAGTCTGCACGACACCTTATTCCCAAGTCATCGGAAGTTATAACCTTTCCGGTTTGCAATCGTAGCGACCAACGCACCATAAGTGCAGTCTATGTAAATAATAAAGTGCAGAGAGAGAACAAGTAGAAATTGTGTCACAAAGGCGGGAAAAATGAGTGATACACACAGACGCCTTTATTACATGCATATGTATGTATGTGCGTCTGTGCAGTTTGTAAATACCTTCCATATTTAGACTCCACCCCTTTTATGGCAGTGGGGAAAATAAATGCCATATTGATATTTTGAGTAAAACAAATAATAATAACAGCAACAACAACAATACAAAATTATCTTATCATTGTCACTCTCCGATTCTCCAGACTACTCCAGCGCAAAGCCAATGGAAAACGCACGCTTCCAGCGCCGTCGCAGTAGACGTTGCGTATACTTGCTCGCTAGCAAATTACAAAAACAACAACATCACCGTCACCACCGTCAAACGGCCATTATCAGCAACACAAATTCATCGAAGGCACGTCGACAGCTGAAAATTTTGCAAGCGTGTATTCAGCAATTTGAAAAGCGGCAGCTCACTGGAAGGCTTCCCCGAACGGGCAGTACTTGAGACCCGAAGGGGCTGCGTGAAAACACTTCAAAATGAACTATTTTCTTTTCCCATATTTGACAACATCAAATACGCGTGTATGTGTGTGTACATATGTATGTAAATAAATATGCACGCGCATAACTTCTTGAGTGCATAAATACAAATATTTACTAACTTTCGAAGGTAATGTATGTATATGTAGGTGTGTGTGTGTGTGGTCTTACGTAAAAGTACGAAAATATTGCTTTATTATTACTCTTACGCGTATGCATAAATACTGTTATACAAAATCAATAATATACACATTTTTGGTTTTACTAAGCAGCTTAACCTAGGAAATTATATTTTAATTTGCATCACAATTAATTACATATAAGTAGAATATTATAAAACATTATGGATGACAGATATATATTAACTTGTACATATGTATATTTGTATGTATTCATACATGTGCATGGCGAGTAAATAACGGTTAAGCTGACGTGGACTCGAAGATTGCAAAGAATAACATTAATTATATAAAATAACTACATATACTATAACTACCTTTCTAATTTAAAAAATATAATTATAATACTCAAAAAATACATTTTTTTGAATATTAGTACATTTTTCTTTTCTTCATATAAGGTCTATCACTATTTATATTAGTATAGTTACAATAGTCCGATTTAGGTCAAATATGCACCGTTTTGTTCGATAACTTGTTGCCATTTAATAAGAACACTCTCAGAGAAACCCTTGCTTGGCAAAAAACTGGGACAGGCGACTTTCACAACTTTCTTTTGAGGCGCATTTTCAACGAGCAAAATCATTCGCCATAAACAAGAACAGGTAGTAACCACTTCGTGCGAGGTCCGGAGATTGCATAAGAACCCTCCAACCAAGCTCTCGGAGCTTCTGCAAGTCACTATAGATGTGCGTGGTCTGGCTTGTTCTTGATAAAACAAAATTCATCTCCTATTGGCCAAAGCTGGTCGCTTCTGGCCACTTTCTTTCTTCAGATGGTCCTTATTAAGATATCGACGTAGAGGGCAGTTCATAGTATTATATATACTTCGCTGCCAATTCCACCAAACTCCTGTTCTTACCTCTCTCCTGGCTTGGCCACTATTTACGCCGGCACCCACGATTCGACCACGACCGTTTTCGCTTGACTTTGTCGTAAGGGACCCACTTTTTATCAGCGGTAACAAGCCGTTTCAGAAATGGTACTTCATTGAGTGAGCCATAATTTTCCAAATCACTTACTATCTATGAAAGGTTTGGCAATTATTGTCTAGATATTCGATGTATACATACGTACAATACATGCAAATGTATTCAACATATAAGAAGAGGGTTTGGGTATGTATACTTTTGGTAGTAAATAATGTATTATGATATTTTACAATAATTTCGCTATTTATTTTATTCTCTGATCTCTTCATATTAAGGCAGAAATTACTTTGTTCTGTTAAACAAAAGTTCTTTTGATTGTGTATCGTTTGTATAATACTTGTATATGAATATATGTTATTGTATAATATTTATTTCTTATTATTGCCTTAGTGAGTCTTCCTTCCTATACAACGCCAAGTATGAACTAATTGAGCAACAATAGGGATATAACAAACTAAAATATACATATCGTTTTTATACCATCGGAACATGTAGTTACAGAGTATAATAGTTTTGTTCATCTAACGCTTGCTTGTATCACCTAAAGCCAATCCAGATAGATAAAGGGTTATGTATGTATATAAATGATCACGTTGACAAGACGAGTTCATCTCCGAGTGACTGTCTGTCTGTCCGTATATGCGATTGCTTGAATAAAAATTTAGATATCTTGAGGAAATTTGGTACTAAGGTTTTTTCACAACCAAGAGAGGTTTGTATTGCAGATGGTCATAGTCGAACTTCCGCCACGCTCACAAAATGCCATTAGGCAAAAACCTGTAAAGTGCTATAATTAAGTTCCAAATTGAGATAAAAAATTGGAATTTGGTACCTAACATTTTCACACAAATAGTGCTGTTATGATAAGTTATTTCAAGTCTAATGCTGATTACAATCGAACCATAACTGTTCAAGCCCCCAGATACCAAATATTTGGACCATGGCTGACTTTTAAACGAAAATATGGGTCAATCAAAGAAAATCTTTTCCTTATATTAATGTACCATCCTGTAAAATATGCGTATATTTTCTCTAGCCTCATATAAAGATTTTCGAACTTCTGGCTGACTTCATACCGTGTATATTGGTCAATCTGCCAGGTTTCCCAATAATATTCATAGAATACGTTTTTCTAGTAATAATATAGCGTAATGATATTAAGAATATATAAAATCAGATCAATACTACCCCTAGCCCCATTAGCCCAATATAAAGATTACAAATTTCCGGCGGACTTTAAGTTTTTTAATGAAACTTATAGAGCATCTTTTTCATGAATTAATATGTCCAAAAATATCCACCAAAAATGTATTACATTAGGTCAATACGGGTAGTATTTGTATAGTAAATTGCCACCATATACCCAATATAAGAATAGGTATAGTTAATTACCCTAAAACCGTAAAGAGTATCGAACTGAACTCTGCACTAGTAAGAAGGCTTACGCTGGAATATGCCAAAATTATATTTAAAGCACATTATTCACAATGATTCAACTGTATTTTACAGAATAATCTATCATATCAGAACATATCACATAAAAACAATCAAGAGTGTGTGAAATAAAAAGAGAAACACATCCCAACGTAATGTTTCGTTCATTTATCTCAATTGAGAGTGATGAGAAGTTAAAATTATTTTCGAACCACCCTGTATATAATTTACTAAGAAACTCCTCACTGGGTAGGTAGATTTATACAAACATACACATATTAAAATTGTACTTATAAAATTTTTTTTTTATAAAATAAACAATACACGTGTTTATATTCGCAACTTATTTATTTATAAAATATATATCAGTAACTGACCTACATAGGTATATTTCGTACACGCTTTCGAACTTATTTTTAGTAGCGTATACCTATTTGTACCGTTAAGTCGTCTAGTTTTCAGCAGTTATTGTATTTAAAAAAAGATTGTAGTAAATCAAAATTTTAACACCTAATATGGACTTTAATGAGTTTCGTGATTTTGGTAATAGTGCAATAGAGCTGGTGATACGCTATTTACGAGATATTCGAAAACGGTAATATTGTGCAAATTATATAATACCTAACTGCTTTTACCCGTAAGATTTTTATATTCCGCATTTTACGAATTTACGACATAACTGAAATGAAAAACAAGTAAGGAAGGGCTCAGTTTGGATGTTACCGAACATTTTATACTCTCGCAAAGTCAAACGGTATACTCGTTTGAGATTTCTTTATATATTTTGATTGGTTTGCATAGTGGAAACTGAAAGAATCAGATGGAATTTAAAATGGTGTTATATGCGAAATAGACGTGGTTGTAATCCGACTTCGCCCATTTTCACCAAAAAGTGGGCGGTACCACGCCCACTGTCTGATTTTGAACGCGATTACTTTAAAGTCATCTCATACCATCCCAGAGATAAAACTTAATGTCTCTGGCGTGTTTAGTGCTTGATTTATCTCGCTTTTAGTAGTTTTTAACAGTACCGTTATATGGGGAGTGGGCAGAGTTGCCACCCGATTTCACCTTTTTTCACACTGTCGCTAGAGGTGATAAAAGCATTTATTCTCAGTGAATTTCGTTATTATAGCTTTAGCGGTTTAGGAGATACGCACATTAAACCTATTAGGGAGCGGGACCACGCCCACTTTTAAAAAAAATGTAAACTGCAGATGCCCCTTCCTAATGTGATCCTGTATACCAAATAACAGTCTTGTATCTTATTTTGAAGCTTAGTTATGGCAATTTATTCGTTTTTAATTAATGGCGTTTTGTGGGCGTGGCAGTGTTCCGATTACGCCCATCTGCAATACCAACTGTCTTACGGTACCAGGAAACATGTGTCATAAAGATATCTCAATTTCTACTCAAGTTACAACTTGCACGGACGGACGGACAGACAGTCACCCAGATTTCAACTCGTCTCTTCATCCTGATCATTTATATATATATAATATATAAACATATATCTAACTCGAGTTTTAGGTGATACAAACAACCGTTAGGTGAACAAAACTATTATACTCTGTAGCAACAGGTTGCGAGAGTATAATAATTTAAGGGCTATCTAAGATCGGGAAGAGGAATAGCAGAGTGGTACAATTTTTAAAGGTTAAAAACGGCTTATCTCAACTTCCGGCAAACCTAAATAGCAATGTTGTGGGTTATAAAGAGATCTACCACTTTTGTATTTACACTTTTTTCAGATAACATCAAAATTAAAATATGTAAATTTTTGGTTTTTGCTTTTTATCCTTTACAATTGTTTTGTTTTTAGGAAATTCGATGTGAACTTACCTTTTTATATCTCAAACACTCTTTATTTTTACTTAATATCGAAAAAGCACCTTAATTTTCAACCGAAAATTCTGTATTTAAGGTATGCGATCTCACAGTTACAAATTGTCGAAAGAGGACCTTTTCAAGTCACCAGATACCGAATCTGTGGACCTCTGTGAACGTAAATGAAAGTCAGAGAACATATTTTTCTTGAAATATGTCAAAAACAGCAAATATAGGTTCAATACTTCTCCTAGCCTCCATATATATAGAGAGCTTTCCGAACTTCTTGTTGACTTTATATGGTATATACCAGTCAATACGTGAGCTATGTTAAAGAAATAAAGATAACGTCTCACTGTAAAAACAATGTGTCTTTGTATCTAAAATGGATACAATCGGCCCAATAATAATCATAGCCCCCAATTAAGTAATTGGGAATTTAAAACATCCGGTTGAATTTATTGCGTACATATACTATTGTGATCAAAAAGTAAGGTGAGGTGATTATCGTGGTGTGGTGCGCTATGACTTCTTTCCGCCAAATTGTCAATAAGGAATATGAATTATTTGAGCATCGTTTGCGTTAATCTATTCCTCTGAAACGGCCGAAATTATTGACGAACAACTCTTGATTCCTTGATCTTTATGATAATTCGCAACGCCATACTGCATTGGTTTTTCGCGACTTTTTTGCCAAAAAGTCGACATACATATATCGTTCCGCAATCTCCGTATTCGCCTAATTTGACTCCGTGCGACTTCTGGTTATTCAACAAACTCAAAAGGGCAATGCTGGGACGTCGTTTTGACAAGACTGAGGAGATAAAACTCGAATAGAAGAAGGTATAGCCTTCAAATACTGGAAAACGACTATATAATAAATAATTTACATTTTATAAACAAATTCACTATACTTTTTAATCACAGTAGTATATCGATCAATAAGCCTTAGTGAAATTAAGTGAACGGATAAAATTGGATATACTACAGATTAATTGCCAAATGTGAGTGCTTTTTACTGAAATTAAGTAGATTGCTTAAAAATTATATGTTTTAGTGTTGAATATGAATCAAATTTCTCTAGACCTTAACGTTAACCTTATACCCTAGTATATTGACTTCCGATTATTGCGTTGACTATTTTCCCATATACTCAATACGAGTATATCATATTCAATTTTGCCTCTTTGGTTTAGTTTGGTAAATCACATATGTATTTGAGTTAAGAAACTTGATTTTAAAATAAATATTTCGGACAAAAAACAAAATATCGTAAAAAACTAAAATAAGTGAGTCTACGCATTATAACATAAATACATATGTGCGAGTTAAAAGATGACAAATTTGATTGTAATCCATTCGGTTTCTTCGAATAATGAATGTTGAATTCTTACGCAAATTATTTTAATATAAATTTTAGCCAACACCTGGAAGTATATCCACGCCTTTGATTTTTTCAAATTGTGAATGTATAAAATGCTCGATTTAACCCGAACTTAGCTTTTCCTTAATTATCCTAATATTTTTCTACTATCAGGTAGTAGTTAAGCATCATCTTCTTTACAAAGACTAAGTAAACGCTTTTGTGCTTCAAAGTCTACTTGTGGTATAGTAACCATAAAAAAGTGTCACACTTTTTCTCTCTCTCGCACTTTAAGTACTATCCCGCCTAGATATTCTGTAGAATACATTTTAGCTAATCCGACTGCTAGTATAGTCTATTTATGTCATTGTAAGGTTTGAATGTAATTTTAACCATTAAATAATATGCTTTTAAAAATTAGTAAAAAATATATAAATTTATGTATAACTACTTACATACATTATTTTTATAATCAGCGATGTACTGCCATCGGTCGAGCCTTTTTCAATAATTCACGCATTACCCGATGAAATGCCAGAGCAAGCTGAAAATTGGCAGAGTGTTTTGAATGACGTTGAAAATATTTTAATGCCAGCTTTGACACATTGGCAGTCGCCACATTTTCATGCTTTCTATCCATCAGGCTCATCTATGGGATCTATTGTCGGAGAGTTACTCATAGCTGGCCTTGGCGTCCTGGGTTTAAATTGGGTGAGTCTATTGTGTAATATAGTTGGATAAGCGTAGTTGCTAATTAACAAATTTTCTCCACAGGATTGCAGTCCAGCCTGCGTTGAACTTGAAGTGGTCGTTTTGGATTGGCTTGCCAAATTCCTTAGATTACCTCTGCATTTTCAACACTCTGCGGAAGGTCCTGGCGGTGGTGTAATTCAGAGTTCAGCAAGTGAAGCGATTTTAGTTGCTGTTATATCTGCGCGTGAGCAAATGGTGCGACGCATGGCAAAACACTTGGAAATGAGCGAAAGTATGATAAGAAGAAAATTGATTGCATATTCAAGTGACCAGAGCAATAGTTGTATAGAAAAGGCATGTAAATTAGCATGTTTACCAATCAAATTGCTCACAACTTCAGATGATTATGTATTGTGCGCACAAGAGTTAGAAGCAGCAATAAAAGAAGATCTATCCCGAGGACTAATACCCACTATGTGTATAGCTACGCTTGGTACAACTGGCACCTGCGCTTATGATGACATCAAAGCACTAGCAAAAATCTGCCAGCGTTATCAAATTTGGCTGCATGTAGATGCGGCATATGCAGGTGCTGCTTTGGCATTGGATGAATACGTACAATTGCATGACGGCTTGCTCGATATTGATTCCTTGAATATAAATCTGCACAAATTACTAATGGTCAATTACGATGGTGCGGTAATGTGGCTGAAAGATGCCAGGAAACTTGTGGAAACTCTTCAAGTGAACCGCATCTATTTGGAAAACAATGAAAAAACGAATAAACACGACTTGCCTGACTTCCGCAATTGGCAAATATCGTTAGGCAGACGTTTTCGGGCACTTAAAGTCTGGATCGCTTTCCGTACAGTGGGTGCTGAAGGTTTACGAAGCAATCTACGCAAGCATATGAAACTATCGACGCGTTTCGAAAAATATATTTTAGCTGATAATCGCTTTGAATTGGTGGCCAAATGCACACTTGGCATTGTTTGCTTCAGAGTTAGAGGTGAAAACAAATTGACAACACGATTATTGCAAAGACTATTGGACAGGAAAAGAATATATATGGTGCAATCAATACATGGCGCAAAGATCTTCCTCCGTTTTGTTATATGTGGAATGGATACTAAAGATAGAGACGTGGATTTTGCCTGGACTGAAATTCAAAATGAACTGAGTGAAATGCGCGTGACACAGGAAACATTTAAAATACCAGATGGCATTGCCAAATGCGAAAGTGCTATAAATGCAATTTGTTTGGAAGCCTTAGGGAAACGGAAGTCTTTAAATTTGGGTGATATGTATTTATGCAATTCATCTGAGAAATATAAGTAGGATTTAATTGAAACAAATATATATATTGTATATACCATATTGTAAAAAGTTCTATTTTTACTGAAAATTTCAAATATAATGTCTTTTCAGTTAGCAATTCAATTTTACAATCGATTATAGTTGTGTAGATGATGAAATAATATTATATGTGGTTAATTTGGAAATTAATTTTAAATATTTTTTATATTATATATTAATATGTATTATTTATTTATCATCCTTTGTTGTTGATATAGCATACTTTTGTAAAAAATATAATCAATTTTTTCGACGTGACTGTTTCCCTCCTCATAGATAAGGGTGGCAGCACCATTTTGCCCAGCTGATATATTTGCCAAATACCCTAAAATGCTAAGAAAATGAACATGTGGCAATATCAGCAAATCATAACAAAATATAAGAAAATATTTCGGTCACAATTTCCAGTCAAATATTTTAGTGAAAATAAATTTCCGTTTAAAACTACAAGAAAATAGTTTTCTTTAATAATAAGTTTAAAATTTTAATTTGCGGCAAATAAAGGAAGAGCAATGAGATAGTAAGACCAATTGACATTTAGTTTCTAGAGCCTAGTATTTAGTTTTTCTAATGTTTATTAAACACAAATTTTTCAGCATTCGTTGTGTTGGGCGAAAATTACATGGTACAAACCTAGTTAATAACTCGTTTAAAACCATATATCCAACAAACATTTTGAATAAACCCAGGAATGAGGTAGCCGTAGTCGTTATTGGCGCAGGACTTGCTGGTCTGTCGGCTGCAAATCATTTAATTAAAAATGGTTTCAAACAAACAATAGTATTAGAGGCTACTGATCGATATGGTGGACGTATAATATCCAAGCAATTCGGTGATGCATATTGCGAGTTGGGCGCGAAATTTGTGCCCATAAATGCAAAAGATGATACGGTCTACAACATACTACAAAGTATGCGAGGACTACCGAAAAAAGTAATACCAAACAAAGACAAAATGTATGTAAATGCCTTTGGAGAAAAAGTTGATCGGAAACTACCCGAGTTAATAGATAGACTCTACAAGCGGCTTTGTTCACATATACAGTTGGATGAAAAATACAGAACTGGCGCTATGGATGACTTAAATAATTTACACACATATTTTCAAGCTGAAAAATCAAGATTATTAACATCCGTTTTCAATGGAGACGAACGAAAAACTGCAAATGAAATATTCAATTCACTGATCAAAGAGTTTGGCAGCTTGTTAGGTTGCTCGCTGGAATATGTTAATATTGAACATATAACAAAGTTGAAAAATGGTGTAAATTTTGCCAACTACATTTACATACCAACTGGCTTAGACAACATTTTAAGCGTTTTAACAAAAAATCTCTGCAATACGCAGTTGAGAATTGGCAAGCCGGTTGGTGAAATCAATTGGTATATACCGCCAGAAATTGGTGAAAAACGTGTTGCGTGCTTAGATGGTGACGTTTTTCGCGCAGATCACATAATTTGTACGGTGCCATTGGGTGTACTTAAAATATTTTCGGAAAATATGTTCAGACCGTCTTTACCAAGCAACAAAATAAATTCCATAAAAAAACTTGGTTTTGGAAGTCCAGTAAAAATTTATTTTGAATACGAAGGAAATATAGACAGCTGGCTGAAGAATAGTTTGAGGCCATTATGGCACACTGGCGCTCCTAACTCAGATATGGCATGGACGAAACAAGTAGTCGAAATATCGAAATTACCCAAAAGTAATAGAGTGGTTGAAGTAGTTATTGGCGGTGAATTTTACGAAAAAATTGAGAAATTACCAGATCTGGAAATGCTAACCGAAGTAACAAATCTACTGCGTACATTGTTGAAAAATCAAAATATTCCTTATCCTAGTACGATGTTGCGTTCTAATTGGAGTTCACTGGCATGCTATTTAGGTGGACGCCCTTACTTTTCTACGGGCAGCACAATAAATGACGTTTTAACACTTGCCGAACCGCTGGGACCCATGTCAAGTCTACTGTTTGCTGGCGATGCAACCATAGTAGAAGGATTTGGCACAGTAGATGGTGCGCACAAGAGTGGCATTAGAGAGGCGCAACGCATAATCGATCACTACAACAAACACGCGGCTGTTTAATTCATAAAGCCGAAGAAATGAAATGACAAATGTGATATTTTTTTAATTACGTTTTAATAACATGAATTTTGATTTAAAATTTATAAATAGCTTACTTATTAGCATATAACACACAACATCAATGCAAAACTGTTAAAAGCATTAAGTAAATAGTATTTGGCTATAATATCAACAACAATAATATATTTAAGCATTTATGTACTAATGGAATATATATGGTAGAGAGAATGTTAGCAGGCATTCGTTTTCATTGAACCAATTGAAGTACAACTTCAGGTTCGTTCCCTAAATAAGTCATTTTCTTTCTTTTAGTTTTAAGTCTTCATTATTAATACAAATGGTTTTCTCTTTTTTTATTCCTTGCAGATGTCATTAGCAGCTTCACTAACTTCATGCCAAGAATATTCCATGTCCTCTGGCTTGGTAAATCTGGAGCAAACCGCCATACGTAAAAAGTATACATCATTTATTTTACTTGGCACCATATGTATGTTACCGCGTCCGTTAATAAGTTTTAATAGTTTCTCACTCTTATCATTAGCACCCTTTAAACGGAAACAAACCAAACCCATATTTACATCGCCAACAATTTCAAAACGATTATCGGCTCTGCAGAGATCAGCAAACTGTGTAGCGTAGCCACAGTGACGACGTATGTGTGCCTGTAGATTTTGCACGCCATACAAGCGTAGTACAAACCACAATTTCAAAGCACGGAAACGACGACCTAATGGAATTTGCCAGTGTCGGTAGTCGGGTACTGAACCCTGCATGTCGTGCTTCAAATACAACGGGTCCACATTGAAAGCATTCACCACCCAACTGGGATCTTTGAGCCACATAGCACTGCAATCGAAATTCACCAACATCCATTTGTGTGGATTAAAATTAAACGAGTCTGCCGTTTCGATGCCTTTCATTAGATGACGGTATTCGGGGCAAATAAAAGAGGCACCCGCATAAGCAGCATCCACATGTATCCAAACGCCGTACTTGTTGCCAACAGGACCACATTCGTCCAAGTAATCGAAAGCACATGAATTTGTAGTGCCCAACGTGACAACGGCCTACAAATAGCAATAAAAAATATAGTAGAAATATATTTGAAAATATTAGAGCGGAGATATTCTTATAAAAAGTAGGCGTATATATCCATATGTTATATGAACATAAATTTGCCCAAAAAAAGTAAAAATATACACAATTATCATAACACAAAAACAATTAGGCGATATATTCGTAAGTGTCGAAATCTAATGCTGTATTAAGAAATTCAAAATTATTTATTTCAAACATTTTGTACAACAATACGCTTTGCAACTGTAATTTAATAAGCTCTCTCTAAGCTACTTCAACTTTTCTGTATTGAAAAAAAATTATTGTAAAACACGTTTTCTAGTCGGTAACACTAAAATTTTAGTTACCCAGAATAAAATATATGAAAATGGAAAAAAAGAATAGCTTATGTCAAAAAATATAAATTGAAAAAAGTAACAAATTTACCTACTCGAATATACAACTAACTTCATTAAATATAATAAAAATTATATTTTTGAACTCCATAATCAAGAATTTTGTTTATACGTACATAGAATGGTATAAGTCCATCCTCCAAATCCTTCTTAATTGCCGCCTCCAAAGCCTCGCCACGAAGCCGGTTGTCTTTGTCTGCCGGAACGCCACGCAATTTAACACCACCAAGTAGACCAGCACGCTCAACCGACGAATGCGCCTGTGAAGAGCTGTAGCCCACCAATTTTGAAATGATTGTATTTTCACTCCAGTCTGGATGCAGTTTCTTAATCTCTTCGATTTTCTTAGCTTTAGCACCTAAAAGTGCCACTAGAGTTGCTTCGCTGGCTGTTCCTTGTATAACACCACCGCCTTTACCACCCGAGCAGGCCAATAGCTCTTTGGGCAAACCAATCATTTTGCCTAACCAATCCAACATGACTACTTCCAGCTCAGTACATGCGGGGCTAGCAATCTTTTAAAAGAAAAATTGTTATTTGTCGCATTTAAAAATGAATAATATTGCCGTTGATCCTACCCAAGAGAAACCGATGCATGCAATCGCACCACTTAACATATCTGCTACAATAGCTGGATATGAGTTGGCTGTTGGAAAATAAGCATGGAACTTGGGACTATGCCAGTGTGTGACGCCAGGCATTATAACACGTTCGATATCCTTCATAACATCCTCCCAACTTTCTGGCGTCTCCGGTGCAGCATCAGGAATCAGTGGTCGCAAATAACCGGGTTTTACATCGGAAAGGACTCGTCTGAAATTATATAAAAACGTTAAATATTTCAGTTTTATATTACGGAATGTAGATGGTGTGCACATGTGAAGAAAAATGTAAGTCATTCAACTGAATACAGTGGATCCTAAGTATGTAATCACTGAACACTCTCAATTTTTATCAAACACGGAGGATCAAATGAAACAATGAAAAAAATTAAGCGAAGTAAAATTTTGTTAACAGTCAAAAAATTGAAAAAGGACTAGACCGGATATCCGTGACATCGAAGTTAATATCGACACGAAAAACGAAATTCGTCACCACCCAGGAAAATTTAAAAATTTGAATATCTGGAAAGCTTTTGAAACGAGTTATCATATTGTGTTAATATATTTCAGTTGTCAAAAGCGGTAGATAAAGTTGGACCGGATATCCGTTCCATCGAAAGCGACAACTAGACTACGCACGACAAAATTTTATACGACCGCGGAAAATTAGAAGCTCAGAAAAACTTCCGAAACAAAATATCATTTTGTGATAGTTTATTACAGCTGTTAAAAACGGCAAATAGAGCTGGACCAGAAATTACATCCAGAAAATTTCTCACCCCCATTATAGTTCAAGTTTTCAAAAATTAGCCAATCTATTCAAAATAGTAACTACAGACAAGGATTTTTTTATTAAATAATGCCGTAATAGTAAAATTCAGCTGTGAAACAATTACAAACGTGACAATGCAATGAATGTAGCCTAATGCCGTTCATATTATTATTTCACTTTTAATTAGTTATTTAATTACAAGGTTAGCTAATTATTTGAAGTTAAGATTAACAGCGCACATATGTATGTATGTACATTAAGTTATACTTATATATGTTCATAGGTTCGCAGTGAGTCTATAAATATGTACATAGGTACATTCACTGAGTTTCATTGAAGAATAAGCACACGTGTTGCTCATTGTGTTTGTTGCCAGTTTTACTCATTCATCAGGCTGGTCGTTTTTCTTAGTTTTGTAACTGAAGACTTAAATGCTAATTATATTGCAATAAGAAATGAAAGTGCGGAACCAGTCATTCGGTTTGGCCTTAAGGCGTGACTGAGAAAATGTACCGAATGTTTTTTCGTGATTTTATGCTTTTGCTTATTGTTATTATTTTGCATTTCAATGTCGGTATTTGAAAGTGAGAATTATGGATAGAATGGAACGTAACTGAGTTAAAATACAAATGTCAATATATACAGACATATATACATGTGTACATACAACAATTGCAACCAATTCTCAACTTGTTTGGTTAATTTTTTTAAGTAAAAAACAAGTTTTTGTATATAAAGTTTGAAAGTAAAATGTTTCAACATTGAAATATTATTTTTTTTTTATTCGGTACTTTATATGTATGTTTTTTCTGTAAACATTTTAAAGTTAATATAAAAAGAAGTTTGAGCAAGCTAAAATTATCCATCAGCAAGATATTTCGGTTCAGAATTATTACTAATTAAATGAAGCATTTTTTGGGAAATTTTAAAATTTTCATTTATAATCAGAAGAGTTACAATTAAGAATTTAGCTATGCTCAGACATAATTTTGCTGCCGTTGCATATTTATAAACCTATACAACTAATTGTGGAAAGTAAATCAGCTGATTTGCTTTCTATTGCTCTTTACATTCAATTGTAAGTGGCTTGACACAGATTAGATAATATTTCATCAGTTAGCACATTCAACAGATAGTGCCAAACTTAGGCAAGTTTTTAGGTAAATAATCTATATTATTAGTAGTATCTGAGTGACATGCCTTACATGTCTATTTTCTTCCTCAGCATGGAGCCAAAAGTTCAAAGCCTGTATATTCATATAATTCTTTCTTTACCCTGCTTTGCTTACCTATCGCGTATATTCTCCAAATAATCGGCGATATAATCAACCATAGATTTAGCAAAATCTTTGAACTCAGGGGCCTCCATGTCGATCTAAGGGTTAAAAAAATAAAATCAAAGATTTTCATAAATTCATAATTATATATATATTATATATATTATATTTCATAATTATAGTTAAAGATGGTTTCTTAATAATAAAACAAACCACATTTTGAAAAACTATATTTACAACTTACCGACACGTTAGGGTCAAGCTTATCCATATTTATATCAGAAATACCCTTCACCAAATTTTCCAAATTATTATTCATTTTATTGAAGAGTGTTTGATAAATTTTGAGTGATTTTTTCTTCTTTGTAGAGAAATAGGAGAGGAAGAAATATGTTAAGTAAAAGCAGCCACAGTAATAGACATGAAAAGTTTGTTAATAAGCAGGTGTTCCAATAGTTAGTAATTTTTATAAATTTATTCAACTATGTAGGTATTTATAAGTATATAGATACATAGCTACTACTTCACAACTATGCTGATTGCAACAATTAACTCATTATTATTATTATTATTTTTATTTTTTATTTAACGCAAGAGAACCTCGCAACTAGTTTCTATCACTCTTTAACACTTACATATACATATGGTTATATTTAATATAATATATGTATATTGATTACACATTATACAGTAAACTAACAATCAAGAATTTTGAAAAAAAAATATAATAAATATATTTATTTTTGCTTAAGGTGTCTGATAATCATAATTTTTATTCATATATATAAATAAGTATAAAACAATTTATATGATAAAAAAAAATGAAGGCTTATATAATAATGATGTGAGTAAGTATGTAAAATAGTTACTAAAAGTATAATGGTTCCCTAACCAACTCTAAATAATTAAAAAAATACAAACATATTTGCATAATTTTCGTATATATTTTCTAAAATTTTAATAAGCAATACAATTAATATAATAAAAAAAAAATGTAATCCTTATTTTAACAATTATTAATGAGTTCTTAAAGTTATTTTCATTATATCAGTAGTGTGTCGGCTTAAACGCCTAAAAATAGGCAATGACAACAGCTAGTTTTACTTTACCAGACGTGACTAATACACCAAGAGCTGATATTGCGAAGATCGGTAAGTAAATTGATAACAATAAGTTCATAAAAAATATTTAATCATGCTACAAAGCTTTAGATCAATTCTATGCATTTTTATAAGATCTTCAATTATAAGCAATCAAGTTTTAAAGGGGATATATTTACATATACACAATTAGTGAATATAACAGGGGAATTAAAAAAAATTAAATTTAATATTTATCGATTTATTAGCTATTTCTCGAGTAATTGCTGCAGTGATTGCGGTTTTTACCGTGATTGAAAAATAAAAACAACTATAAATCTGTAATGTATTGTCTATATAATATTACAAAACTACTTTTTTAACTTTGCTTAAAAATTAGAGATTTTTGTATCGCCAAAACTACATTTCTCATAAAATCGAAAAACTGGTTGGTAATTGTACGAAGAAATATATAATAAATAAGTTTTGAGAAAAACGCTTTTAAAGATAGACTGACTGATCTTTAAATTTTAGTATGTATGATATTTTAAATTTTTTTTTACTTTTTTATTTAGAATGTAGGTGTATCCCTGAAATTGCTGTTTTTGAATTGAAAGTGGTTGGAATATTTATACTTATGTATTTCATAAAAAAAACTCAATTATTGATAACAAATGAGTATAAAAACACTTTGCATATTGTTTTTCATGTTACGCCCCTGACTTATGGCTCCGAAACCCATTGGCAAAGATTCAATGTAAATATTTGAGACATACATTCAGGTATGTGCTTATGTGTATATTATGCGATTTATGCAAATGCACTGTAAAAGCTTATACTATGAAATATTGGTAGCCTTGTTATTTGTGTATCGAATCGGTAGGTAATTAAAAGAACAAGCATTAATAAAAAAAAGTGTTGCTGGTATATGGTATGGGAGGGTGTATATACATATGTACGTATATTTTAGCTTAAAAATTAACTAACAGCAATGTAGTTAGCATAACATAACATATGTAGCAAAGCAAAAGAATTTGTGTTCATGCACTTACTAACCACTTCAAAAATACACTTATGAATTTGTATGTACCTATACGTATTAGTAGCACACTATGATTAGGAAAGGTACAAAACTAGAATTTGGTAACATATTTTTGTTGCGTAAAATTACTAATAAGTTCTATTTAACAAACAAAATTGTTTTAAACAATTTTATTAAAACAATAAAAAAAAATTCTTACATAAAAAAATTTTCAAAAACAAAATTTACATGAAAAATGTTAAATTAAAAATTAAAAAAAAACAAATGTGGGGAAAACAATTTTACATTATAATATTTCATTTAAAAAAATTTTAATAAAAAAATGTATATTAAAAATGTAAATTTAAAATTATAGTTCTGTGTTTTTCTACTCGTTTTTTTTTTATCGAAGTATGAAAATTTTCCTTTCGCGCACTCACCACAATTTAACTTTGTATATTGATGTTTGCACTTCTTTACACTTTGTAATTCTAAGTAAACTTTATGAGCAACAAATTCAATTAAAACTGCCGCACAACAATAAATTGCAATAAAACGTATTAGCACTATAATACTTCTAAACAAATTTATTTATACAGAACAAAACGAGTGAGCTCGCGGCAATGTTGTCCACTACTGTTCGAGTTAACTAAAGCACGAGCGTTTATCAACTGAAAAGACTTCAGTGATTGAAGCGAAATTTAAAGCAAAAAGCCCCGTAGGACCGGTTCAGCAAAAGCGGAGCAACGAAAATGCGCAGGTGCCTTCTAAATATACATACATACAAATATACATAATATAGAGATATTGTAACAACAAGTGGTTGGTTGAATGCTCACATATATAAACATACATATATACACTTTTATATTTGTACAAATATCTACCGCAGTATGTTTGCTTAATTCTATGAATGCAGTTCGCAGCGTTTTAATCAGCGTTAAATGCAAGCAAGTCTTATCAGAAAAACCCAACTACAAATAAAGCTAAAACAACATCTTATTGGACGAATTGTGCGGAACTAACTGCATAGGTGGAAACCAAGTGCAGCAGCTCATGAGAACTCTAAACAAAAATATATACTAAAGATTTACAGTGAATATTTGTATACATATATGTATGTGTCTATTGATTATCTATTATGAAAATAAAAGGTACATTAAGTTCGAACTTTACCAACACTTACGCATATGCAGACTCTTTATACGCACGGTATGCATGTGCATACATACATACATCCCTTAAGGGTGATGCGTGCGATTTTATGTTGGTGACAGTGAACCTTTCTCGGAAATGGATCATTTAGTTTCAAGTGACGGTCACTAATGGTGCTGAAAACTGGTAATGCTCTATTTCAGTAATAGATGTTGTAGTTGTAGAAGGCTTTTGTAATGCTTAACTCATAGAGTTTTTGGTTCGTAACACACTTATGACACAAGTGTATGAAATTTTCAGTTTTTTTGTTATTTAAAGTGAAACTTTTTATCTATCCTTAAAAATTTATTCGTTTGTTTGTCGCTTACATATCTTTTGTTGCTGTTACTTAAACACTATACGCACTATTTCTACCTAATAAATAATTTTTCTAAAAACTAAGTGGGCCGGCCCAGAATTAATGGAGACCACTATCCACTGCTATCCAAAAAAACAGCTCAGCTCTCTTATTAAGTTTCCCTTGACCTAGAGTAGAACCCAAGTTCCCTAAAAACTAAGTGAATAAAAAGTATCAGAAGATAGTATTTACCACGACAAAGCCTTTTCAGATTTGTCGTATAATGTCATATTTTATATTATGTAATTCTCCTCCAGTCATGTGATCTCCTCCAATAATCTAGTGAAAATCTGACTGGTCACCATCCGATTGATACACATGCGGTATGCTTGAGAATGATGACTTATTCCTATTGTCAAAGTGCTCTGAAAATTATCCGGTGATATCGAATTGGCCCTTCTACACTATTACACTTTTGCATGGCATAGGCTGTAACACCTTGTCGGGTTAATTTATGTAGTATTAAAATTAGTTTATCAGATTCATTATGTTATAATATCTCCATCAACTATAATGACTTACCCTAACATAACTTAGTCGGGTATCTGCGATTGTAACCTCAAGTAGCAAAGTTCAACAACTATCGAATGGATATTTTTGACAGTATCTACAAGTATATACTTATTAATGAGCTACTAGTTTACTATAGAACGGCCATCATATTGTAAAATGAGTGTGATAACCCCCGAGATATAAAGATTTTATAATAAATAAAATATCCAAAATTTTTTGGCCTTTATTTCCACATAAAGCGGCCCTGTGAAATAGCCCTGGAAGTATACATCTAGGAAAGCATGAGCTTTGCCTGTACGTTTGTATTTAACCGTTGTGCCGTTGTTAAGAACGTATAACATTCACTTTTAACTATTGTGCTACAATATCAATTCATAATTCAATACATATTTACATAGTTTTGCAGATGCATAACAGTCGTGTGTCTATGAATATAAGTACATAAGTAAATACAAATGCATGTACAAATGTGGTTCTATTTAAAGTCTTATTTGCTTTTATAAAAGCGAAAATGACTTACATACATAAATATAATATGTGCACAGATACATACTTATGTACATACAAACAAAAATATGTAGGTAGATGCTCCTATCGAAAAACAAACGCTTTTAATTAAATAAATATTTTTTCTTCGGAACTGGTATCGATTCCGTTCGTTGATGAGTGAATCATAAAACGCTTAAATCTCGATTTCGACCAGTTTTGTTTTTTCGTAAAACTGTTATTTAGTTAATTATAGTATAAGGAAACTCATGAACTGTTAAAGCGCCGACTCGATGTTAGTGACGCGTGCTTATGGGTACATACATATGTATGTATGTATTATGTGGAGCAATATTTAAAGTATAGAATTTGAAGCGTGCTTAAATATACATATGTACATACATATATGAATATGCATACAAGCATACAATAACTAAAAAAGTTACTCTGATTTGAAGAATAAATATGTATGTACATAGTTAAGGCATTTGTAAGTACCGAAAACTACTTTTGCCATTTGAAGGCCTTAAGAAAAGTACATATGTATGTACATACAACGTATCGGAATATTTCTGAAAAAATTACTGTCTCATGTCCGTATTATGACTATGTTAATTTTATATGGCGCGTGTTCGATTCGCCACTTCTCTGCTCGCTAAATTTAAGCTCCCCCTTCTGATCAAAAAATTACTAAATAAATTCAATACAAGGGAGTATGTGGATCCTTTATTCAAGTGATATAACCGCTGTGTGTTCCATTTCAACTTTGAAATTAAGGAGTTACATACATACATATGTATTTACTTATACCCACTTGCAAGTCAGAAAAAAAGATTTTTGTGATATTTTTAAGAGGCGTTTTATTTGATAAATAAATAAAAAAAAACGTAAATTTATAGAATTAAATGTGCTTTAATGATCTGCGATTCATTTTGAAAAGTTTTGGATTCCCTTGATATCGCCGCCGATCAACAAGAAAACCTCTAAAAAAAATGTCTGGCGGAGAGAACGATTTTTCTGTTTAAAAGTATTTCAATTCCAAAACCCAAAAAAAAAATATTTTTATAGCTGAAGGGCAAGCCAAAGTTTTAATTTTTGACAAAATGGCGAAATGGCAAAAGGAAGATTGTCAAAAATATCATTCCTTCATTGATCGAACATGACAAATACATACAAAATCAAGATAAATATCTTTTTATACCCCTGTATGCTATCAAAAATGCTCCTCGGTGCAGCTAAAGTGACCTATTGTTTTTTGTTGCATTCATCCAGCGAAAAATAGTGTTTTAATTGTAATATAAAGCAATCATTTCCATAACTTTTAATTTCTTGAAAATAAACTCATCAACATTCTTAGAATATTTCAGTGTTAGCAAACCCAGGAAATAGTGTAAAATTATTTCTTTTTCCAGTTTAAAATAATATACATATGTATGCAATATAACAACTGACATATACTTACATATGTATGTATGTATGCATGTATACAAAAAAAATTGTTTAAATATTTACTTTCCTTTTTTTATTTTTATTAACCATGCATTTGTACAAATACTTTTTTTTTTAATTTTGTAAATAAAAAAAATATTATATGGTATACACATATATTTATTTATGGGCTATGCAACACTAAATGCAAAAATTTAAAATGCCATTTCGAATAAATTGAAATTTAATTTCATTAACCCTTATGTTAGTAACCAACTTTACCGACGTCTTTTAGCAACCGGGTACGGCACGATCTAAGTATTATTATTATTATTTTGTTTATTTTATTAAAAATACTAATAGTCAGTGACAATTTAAAGAAACAAAAAATAACAACGTAGAATAAAAAAAAAAAAATGAACTCACAAATAGCTTTATTTTAAGTTAAAAAACGACGATTTGAGAGCTTAAAATGAAATACTGAATTTTTTTAAGCTATTCACACAAATACACCGCGATGGGTACCCGGTTACTAACATAAGGGTTAAATATTTATTTTCAAATTTTTTATTTTTTTTTACCCAAACATATCATATAATATTTTTTTATTGACTCTCTGATCTCGATGTTTAAAACTATTTTTCATTCATTATTTATTTAGCTTAATTTATGTTTAATTTTTTAATTCAAACATTGCCCACTGTCTGACGCAATCTCAACGGTTACGAATACACGATAACAGCTTCCAACATAATAATAGCTACAACAACTGGTATCAAATCTGTACTTCACCCTGCTTCTAACCATTTTCATTAGCTTCGTTAGTTTTATACATACATATATACAGTGTACATACTTGTATATACAAGTATATATCAATATAATATGCCGTTTTTACACATACACTCGTAAATAAACATTATGAGTCTGCATTTGCAAGAAAATAAAGCGTGTTTCAATGTGAAACTCGAGCTTTAATGTAAATTTGATTTGGAATAACAGAGAATTTTTTCTTGAGATATTGAAATTTAATTATGCTTCAAAAAAGTTATAAATATGCAGATGATATTGGTGATCCAATCTGAATAATTAGTTCAGAGTTTGTTATGTTGCGTTGTATAATAATCGAATAATCAATTTCGTGAAATTATCTGTTTAATGTTTTGGATGTAACGCTTGTTTTCGATTGATCAGTTCGTATGACAGCTATATGCTATAGTGATCCGATATCGACAAATTGGCGCTTCTTGGAAAGAAAAGTGCGTGTGCAAAATTTAGATCAATATCTCAAAAACTGAAGGATAAGTTCGACTACGAGTATATACAGATAGGCGGACATTGCTAAATCGACACAGCTCGCAACGCTGATCATTTTACAATATACATACATATGTATACATACTTTATAGGATCTCGAACGTTTCTTGCTGAGCTTAACAAACTTCAAGGCTAACTTAATATACCTTGATCAGGTTATATTTATATACATTTTATAAACAAATAACATATAAAAAACTTCTTTAATTTAATAAAAAAATATATACAAACAATACAATAAGACTTATAAGAACACCCTATATATTAAGACCTATTATCTAAAACACCAACGTCATAGCTTGGGTGACGACGTTGTATGCAGCATCAACTGCTACACACACATACTCTCACACATGTAAGCATAAATGTAAGAATGTGAGTTATGCGTGAATAAATGGGGGTTTCCTTATTCTCGGCACACTTTTACGATGCATACACATTTGCACAACTACTCTTTATGCCAACAGGTTGGGAGTTACCATTGACTCATGGGCGCCAAATTACTCTTCTCCATCCCCATTTACGTCAATCAATACTATAATGTGCTTGAGAGCCACTCGTTGCTGAAATCTGTAAAGCAAAGTGACAATGGCAATTCTGCAATGGTTCTGATTTTATTTTATTTGTTTATGCGTTTGAACTGAGATAAAAGCGTACAGCTGTATACAAATAATTGGAAACTGGTAGAAGAAATTTCTCATTTGTATAACTATTATCCTTCAGATTGCGTTTAAACTGTGGTTTCTCGGTTATGGTCTACTGCCTACTGTATCAGCTATCTTGCGAACCTTTAATAGGCGGACCGCAGTATGATATCGTGGTCTTTTGAAACGTTTGCTTCCGCGGCTGCCATTTTTGCGGCATCTGTGACTACCGAATTAGAAGATCAAGCGATCTTTGTTTTCACTGCTCGGTTTCCCTTCCAAAGGCAAAAATGGAATCGTCGACAGATATTGTATTTTCATTGTAGTAGAGTACGTTTACACGAACTTACTTTCCCTTTATGGTTCCTTCCTAGATTTTTTATGAGAAATGCAAGTTTAAGTCGACTTCGAAGAATGAAATGCTGAAAGGTGATAGCTAAAAAGAAACTTGTCTCATTTTTCTAACTCGGTCCACAGCTTTTTCCAAACTTATACTGAAACTTAAGGTCCCAAAGTCAACTTAACCTCAAATGTTATTTCAAAGTGTATCTAAAGTAATGTATCCGTTATCCACAAGTTGTATACCTATTCTAGTCTTATCCTTTATTTGAACATATTTGTAATCATATATACATATATATATGTAAATATGTAGGTACGTTCATTTCTGCATAAAAATAATAAAAACATGAGCTGAGAGGAGGTCCAAGAATAATAAATAATTCATGAATTTAAAAAATTCATGTGGTTTGATAGCCAACACTCTGGAAAATTATTGTAGTCGACTAAAATAAATTAAATAAAGCTTCTGGTCGTGTGAGCTTTTGACATCATCCTAAGCTAAGCGACACGCTCTTACTTAAATGCTCTAAAAAGCACAAAGCAAAGTCCTAGGATTCTACTTTGACTCGTATTCAAGCAAATGTATACTCAAATACATATGTAAGTATGTACATCGCTTTTCTTTGATATTTCATTGACATTACTCCCAAAATAAAATTCGCATTAGAAGAGTTAGGCGTTGGCTCTCTGTGTAAGAATCCAGTCTGTTCAGCTTCAAGAAAGTGTCCTTTTTTGGCATTCAAGTTAAAGGATACGAAGTAAATTTTCAACTAAATAGCTCATTCACCTCTTCCGATTCATGAATGAACAACATCGAATTAGATTTCAGTTAGCTCACCATCCTGCGTTGGAATAAGTAGGCATTTTAAGGTGAACAAAGCTTGCTCTTATCGTAGAACAAGATATAGTCCGCAACTCCTGTAACTATTATTCCGCTATAAAATAGCTGTCAAAACACTGAGTTGAGGTTTTTAATAAGGTGATCCCTGGGATCTACCTGGCTTTAGTTAAGACTGCCACTTAACTAGGAAACTGGAACTGATTTTCCCTGTTCTGTCAACGAGAATGCAGCCAGCAGCAACAGACGCTATCCCCTTACGGAACCGTTCCCACGACAGTCGGGTCTACGTAACCGGAATGGACCCGGATTTTGTCCGCCCAAGGACTGTCAACTTGGCAGAATACTGCAATTTTGTAGTTATCTCCTTAAAGCGGCTTAGGCTTTTCCTGTAATACGCTGACAAAATCAAACATTTATCCGACCGCACTTCGGACGCGCCCAGTTTCCGACAGACACTAAATGCCTTCACCGACTCCATCTCAGTGAATGAAATACTTAAGCCGCCTATAGCAAAACAAGAGCCCGATTTGCCTCGCAAAAATAGAGTGACCCTTGCGCAACTTGGTTCTGGGTATTGCTGCAGACTAAACTTCTACCTATCTGGACTAAACCCTTCTTACTCAACAAATGTCCCGCATGAAAATAGTTCTTGTTGCTGTAGGGACAGAAAACACTCTCCAATGATTTTGTGGAATGCTTTAGTGTTGACTTTTCTTGGCCGAATAAAAAGTCCCGATCCATTTCCGTTTCGTAAAGCCTACTGTCTTGGAAACGCTTGTGAAACCTTTTTTTTTCTAACACCCCTTTCCCTATGGTCCAGTCCCGACGAAAATTACCTTACCTTCAAGATAACCGTTTAAACTTAATGCAACAACAACAATATGACTCCCCTGCAATAACAATTCCAAATTACAAATGTTTAATGAAATATGCTTTTTTGTGCTAACAAAATTGCCTGAAACACTCTCAATTTAAAAAAACCGATTTTAATTTACACGTTTAGCGGCTTTTAAACAACGCATTAAAGAACACAAGCACTATAATTTTACGGAATAATCAATAATCCAACAATAAGCTAATTTCTATTGAAAATTTTTTAAAAACACCTTATTCTGTTTTTACACTCTAGATTGGTACCAGTAAACTTAGTTGTATCCACAAAAAGAAAATTTCTCTAAATTTGTGACATGAACATATTTCGCGAAAATTAAATCTGGCAAACAAAATTTTAGCCCAAAAAATTTCGAATCGTGTTAAAAGGAATAAAATCGTTTAAAAAATTAAAAATTGTTTTATTTTCAAACCGTGTAAAAACAGAATTAAGTGTACCTACTTTTTAAGTTTTCTGGTCCAGAAAATTAAAGCGAAACAAGAAATTAATTTGTTGAATTTCCATATAACAAAACTTGGAAATCACTTTAGCTTATTATTATTATTGGTCGAAAGCACAGTTACCCCGCACTAACTTATAGATAATGTAAAAAGAAACAAGTAACCATATTTATTAAATGCTAAGTATTTTCAAAAACAAAAAGTCTCGTTTACTGCGCCAAAGACGCCGGTAAATTGAGAAGGGTATTCTGTCCACCTGGTAGGTATGCAACACCACGCGATCTCGATAGCTGATATGCAATGTCTTCAGCTGCTTCGATACGACGCAATTCTACTAAACCATCACCAGCCTCACCAAAGGCCTTAGCCAAAAGACCAGCAGCCGAAGCATCTCCCTCTGCAGAAATGATGGAAGCCAATTTTTGTTGTTCAGCCTTTTCTACAACGAAACGTGCCTTTTCAGCCTCCTGCTGAGCAACTTGTTTCATTTCTACAGCCTGAGTGAATTCACGACCAAAGGTCAAATGTGTAAGAGAAATATCATCAAGTATGAAACCGAACTGTTTGGCACGTTCAGTAAGTTCTTCTGATACACGTTGAGATACCATCTAAATGATATATAAAATTAACTAATATTCCGAAACTAAGCAACATTATATCAATACACATACCTCACGTTGGGTAATCAATTCACCAGCGTCGAATTGAGCCACAACCGCTTTGAGTACTTCAGGGGCAATTGATGGGAGCACCCTTTCGTCGTAATCTTGACCGAGAATCGTGTAAATTTTAGGCAATTGATCCGGAATTGGACGGTAGAGAATACGTAATGTGATGTTGACATTTTGTAAATCCTTACTACCAGTGATGACGGGCACATTTCTTGGCTGTGAGCGAATGTCATATATGATGGGCCTTTGTACCCATGGAATGAAGAAATGTGTGCCTTCACCTACAACATCTTGTTGCACGCCGGTAAAACGATCAAATATGACAGCACGGTGTCCACCATCTACATTATATAACGCCGAATTCACAACTCCACCTAGGACAGCAACTCCAAGGCCTAATTGACCAATACGATTGAAGAATTGTGCAGCCATTATTCTCGCACTTATTTAACCTGTGGAAAATTAAACACTTAAAAGTTTGACTACAATAAATGAAATATTAAAGTATATTTCACAACTTTATAGGTTAGAAAACCATGTTTGCTTAAAAACATTGCTATATATGCAAAATTTCACCGAAACATAAAAATAAATGGATGACTACTTGTATTGCGAGATATTGGTGATAAAAATATCATATTTAATTACCTATTATCAGTATTATAATTAAACTCAAAGCGGTCTTTGTATGAAAATATTCACACGCGATTGATGAAGATGGTCTAACTAAATAGTTTTACAATTGGAAATCGATTTATTAATCGATCTGATGGGGAAATGGGCAGCACTTGAAGTTATTTACGATAACAATATGTCAAATGCAAAAGCTTAAAATATATTTAAAGTAGAAATGTTTTAAACACATTTCATTTAAATTTGGAAGGATGACATATAACAAAAAAAAAGCGAATCAAAATTAACAAATTTTATAAAAGAAGTACATACTATTTTTATTGATGATGTTCTTTGTAAACACGATAAGCACAAAAAAATATCATTAATTAGTCAGCTAATGAGTCAAATTAAATTCGAATTACAAATAATCTCATAATTTAAAAATAACAATTGCCTAATTAGCCTTTTTCGCAATTCACCCATTCTTTCTTACTAGGTAACTTGAAGAATTATATTAAGCGTTATTTACATATAGAAAATTTATTTATATGCATATTTATATGGATCTTGGAGAATATCATCATATATACAAATCTACTTCGAAAGGATCATGTATGACATGATCGCTAATATTATAAACTTTATTTCAGTAGCTGAAGCTACATTAACACACACTGACTCAAGTCATAACAGCACGCCCGGTGACTTTAGGCATCTTTTTATTGGTCGAATCTTCAAGTTCCTTAGTTTTATAATAGTGTGGAGCCACTTCTAACAACCACTTGCTGTCAATTTCGATCACTTGCCGCATATACTCCTTCGTGGTAAAAACGAGTTCATGGTATAGTACCCATCTGGGCAGCTCTTCAAAAAGCGAAGAATTCGGATGGATCAATACCGTTTGATTGTGTTTAATAGTTTTATAATTGCCGCTTTTTGACAGCTTCGCCCCATGGTAAAAATATCCAGCTGTGACGGCTTTTCTTATATTCACCGTCTCGGGCATGCATGAGACCAAATCAATTTCTACACGCTGCATTAGACCTACGAGTTGTTCACGTACGTCACGTGCTCTCTTCATAGATCTATACTGTATAAAGTTCTCGTAACACCACTGTGTGCTATAATCGGTATCAACCCACTGATTGTAAACCTGCAGTAAACTCAGATGATCACCATGCATGTGATTAAAATTCTTTCGAGCTGTATCCGCATGTATAATTTTATCTTTTGGTCGGTAAAAGATGGCGCTATTCACAGAAAGCATTGCTGCAATAGACACCAATTCTTCCGAGCATTTGTACCTGTAAAAAATAAAAAATAAGAATTGTATTTGTATTATTATTTTACATACTTTTCACTTGCTAATAGCATTTTGCCCATCATGGGGTCAACCGGAAACTCTGCCATGCGTCTGCCCAACTTTGTCAATTCACCATGATGATTTAATGCACCCAATGCATACAGCTGTTCCAAAGCTAGAACTAACGTCTCATGCGGTGGCGGATCTAAGAAGTCAAAGTGTATGAGATCATTTATACCGAGTGCTTTCAGCATAAGCACGGCATTGCCAAGGTTGATCCGCTGAATCTCAGGTACAGTGTTATCTTCCAGTTCATGTTTGTAAGCCCAAGCGGTATAAAGACGGAAACACTTTCCGGGAGCTGTACGCCCAGCACGACCGGCACGTTGATTCGCTGATGCCTTTGAAATTGGCACAACCATTAAAGATTCCATGCCAGTACGTGAATTGAAATTATTTTGCTTGGCGAAGCCAGGATCTATGACGTAAATTATATTGTCAATTGTTAACGACGTCTCCGCTATATTTGTTGCCAATACAACCTTTCTGGCGTTTGGTGGTGTAGGTTCGAAAATTTTTGCCTGCATATCACTTGGCAAGTTAGCATAAACTGGTATGATAACAAGCTCTCGTATCTTCGAACCCAGTCTTTTTACTCGATCTTGTAAAACTTCCTGACATGTTTCTATTTCATCTTGCCCCGTAAGAAATACCAATATATCACCAAGTGGCTGTGTAGCATGTATTTGTAAAACTGAAACGCAACAAGCATCAATATAGTCTGCTTCTGGCGCTTTCGTATAAAATATATCCACCTTAAAAAAGATAATATATAAATATATATGTATATATAATACAACTACAAACTTTAAACGAATTTTAGCAATATTAAGTGAAACATTACCGGATAACGACGTCCAGGAATGCGAAAAATTGGCGCATCATCGAAAAATTTTGAAAACTTATCAGCATCTAACGTTGCGCTAGATATAAGTAGCTTCAGTTCCGGTCGAAAACGTGCTATATCTTTGACAAGTCCAAATAATATATCGGTATGTAAAGTACGTTCGTGAGCTTCGTCAATGATCATAACACTGTAAGACGCCAAATCCGGTTCTGATAAGAACTCTCTGTGTAAAGTACCATCAGTCATGTACTTGAGTACAGTACGTTCTGAGAAAGGGCAATTAAACAAAAACTAATAATAATAATAAGCAAATAAAAAATGGAAGCAAAGTGTACATACCTGAAGTGCAATCTTCGAAACGAATACTATAGCCAACTTCATTTCCTAATTTAACGGCCATTTCTTCAGCAACACGTGCTGCAACAGACATAGCAGCTACACGTCTAGGCTGCGTGCAACCAATTTTTTTATTATCTTTGGTGAAGCCAGCTTCTACCAAGTACTGCGGAATTTGTGTAGTTTTGCCGGAACCAGTTTCACCCTCTATAATAAGAATCTATAATGTAAAATAAATTACAAAATTTAATAGAACGATAATATTTTGTTACTATTATGGATATACCTGATGTTCTTTAACAGCTTCTATTAAATCATCTTTGAATGGGTAAACTGGTAACGATTTTTGCGTTTCTTCTATTGTCATACGCTTTCGTTCTGCCTCAGAAATTTCAGACTTTTTTGAAGAATCCTCTTTGGAACCATCCATGGTGAGGGCTTGTATGAATTCAATTTGATCTTCAAGTAAAAGTTCATATTCTTCTTTCATTTTTGCATCTTTCGAACCGAATTGGAAACGCGCAGATGCTAACTGTTCAGCTTCCCATTTTTTCTGTTCCGAATTAGGTTGTTTTTCCAGCTCATCAACTTCGACATATTCCTCTGAAAATTATCAGAAATATTTAAAAGTGCATAAAAATATAATTCAACAAAAATTTTACCTTTTTCACCCTTTTTTAGGTTTTGTGGTATATGATATCGCTGGATTCGCTCCAATTCACGCGCTTTTTCATGTTCCTTTGCAATTTGTAACAACTGCTTCTTGTAATCACGTTCCTCTCGTTCTTTTGCAGTCAAACTAGAATAAGTAAATTGATTTAATAGTTTGCTTAAAAACTTTTAATATCAGTGCTTACATCTTTTCGTCAAACAAATATTCATCATCCAAAATATCTGCTTCAAGTTCGGCCACTTTATCCTCCTTTCGTTTCTCCAGATACTTTCGACGAGATTGCACACGTAACTGTGGTAGAATTTTATCCCGATCTTCGTGCTCAAGCTTCAGTCGTTTAGCAGCTTCTTCAATAGCTTTTCGGCTAGCGCTGGACTCCAATACCTTTCGCACTTTGCCCTCATCGCGTTTCTTGAGTCGCTCAGCAAATTCATCACGTTCTTTAATATCTTTCAAACGGTCTTCTTCCTCGCTGTCCAATTCTTCAGAACTTGAGTTAACAGCCCGCTTGCTGGCTTTTGACATGATTGATTTAAAGGAAATTACAACTCAATCAGGAATTAAATTTATTGCAATTTCCAAAATTATTAGTTTTTAAGTATAGTAATGATTTTTTAATAAAATAAACGCTGATAGATTGGGCTAACAAATCTAATGTTGTGTTTATTTAAATTATATGTCAGTATAGTTGTTGGAGATGATACGCTATAATTCGATTACTTATTTCTCGATGTCTTATGATGATCAAGCTTTGTGAGTATTTCCTTCAAGACATCGCCGATTCATATTAAGGTTTTTAGGCGTCGTTTTCAAAAGTAAAGAAAAATGTATATAATTCCCTCTCTTATCAATTTTAAGCCAATAATTGATTTATATTTTAACACCACAACAGATCAGGCTTTTGCAAAATATTCCGGTGGCTCAGTTCTTTATATTTCTTTGTTTCTATTCATTATCCACCTAAATTTCCATAATTTTTTTTTTGTTTTCTGCAATGGCATATTTCTTTTCCGCAAGTAATTAATTATACATTTATTTTATTTATTTATTGATACCTATTGGGCTTTGTATTATGCCAAATGAATTGAAGGGTTTTTATATAAATGGGTGGCAGCATATAACGAAACGTGTCCAATGGTTTACATTCATAACTTGGTGCATTCGTAATTTTCTGATTCAATCTTGTGCATTTATTACAATGGCAACTGAAAGTTCCGAAATTCCTTCCCTTGGTAAGATAGAATGATAAAATATTTACACTTCAAATAATTTGCTTCGTTTCCAACTATAGATGGAATTTATACATCTGAAAAAAGTGGTAGTGATGAAAATGGGAAAGGCACACCAGACAATCCCTACAAAACAATTTTACAAGCTATGCGTCATGCAAAAGTTGAACCATTTCCCACAATATACGTAGATAGTAAAGATTCAAAAGCTGAAAGCCCATATGAGGTTGCTGCCAAATCCCAACTGAAGAAAATCCAGAAGATCTTTACACGCGAAGGTCATAAGAATGCCGACAAACAAGTACGTGAAGCCGAAGATGCTGAAAAGCGATTGCAAAACTTGGAGGATGCACGCAAAATTAAAATCGAGGAGGATCCAAGCCTACCCGCTGCACGTAGAATACGCATAAGTCACGGTGAGGAATATCGCGGTGAACGTATTAAGGTTTATGGATGGGTTCATCGTTTGCGTCGTCAGGGTAAGGGTTTAATTTTCATAACTCTAAGAGATGGTACAGGATTTTTGCAATGCGTACTTACTAATCGGCTATGTCAAGCTTATGAAGCACTTGTGTTAAGCACTGAGAGTTCAGTGCTCCTATATGGTGTATTGAAGTCGGTACCTGATGGCAAATCGGTAAGAAAAAAAATCCTACTATAATTAAAATACAAGCAATTAGTAACTAATAAAATGTTTAGGCACCAGGTGGTCATGAACTGCACGTAGATTATTGGGAATTAATTGGTCTAGCACCAGCAGGTGGTGCTGAAAATATTCTTAATGAGGAAGCACATCCTGACGTTCAGTTGGACAATCGCCATATTATGATTCGTGGTGAAAATACTTCAAAGATCTTGAAAATAAGATCAGTTGTTATGCAAGCTTTCCGTTCGCACTTCTTTGATCGCGGTTATAATGAAGTCAACCCACCAACTCTGGTGCAAACACAGGTCGAAGGAGGCTCAACACTTTTTAAATTGCAATATTTTGGGTGAGTCTGAATTAATTAAATTACCCTTGAACATTTTTAGATTTTACGTTTGCTTTGTAAATTTGAATATATTTTGCATTTGTTATTCCATGCCTTCATTATTAAAAAATTTGATTTGAAAATTTTCAAATTAAATGTGGGAATGAAAAGGGATAAAAAATTAGAGATTTACATATTTATAACTATTAAATATAAATATGACAAAAAGAGCTAAACTATGTTGATATTTATTAAAAATAAGTTTTCATTTTCAAAATATAACCAAAATGTTGGAACATGAAGAAGGCGAACACAAAAAAATAGTAAATTCTAAAACAATTCCTTTTTTTTTTTAATTTTTTTTAGCTTGGTTAGCTTGGATTTTAAGCTTGGTATTAATTGTTTTTTATTTTTTCATTATACTTTTTTGTTCACCTTACGTTTGTTGTACCAAATGTTTGGTTACACCCGAATTTAGTCCCTCCTTACTTGTTTTTAATTAAGATTTTGCTATTACCAAATAAATAAATGTTATTCAAATTTTTTAATGTATTATTTGCAACCCTGCCTTCGACAAGTAGTTTTAAATTAACAACGGAAACTTACAAATTCATAATTTCAGAGAAGAGGCATACCTAACTCAAAGTTCTCAGCTATATTTGGAGACGTGTCTGCCAGCACTCGGCGATGTTTTCACTGTTTCCCAGAGTTACCGCGCAGAACAAAGTCGAACGCGTCGTCATTTGGCCGAATATACACACATAGAGGCCGAAAGTCCATTTATTACCTTTGATGATCTGTTAGACCGTTTGGAGGATTTAGTGTGTGATGTGGTTGATCGTATTTTAAAATCACCATGGGGCTCCATCGTTCATGAGCTTAACCCTGAATTTAAACCTCCTAAGAAACCTTTCCGTCGCATGAATTATGCGGATGCCATTAAATGGTTAAAGGAGAACAACGTAACTAAGGATGATGGCACTTTTTACGAATATGGCGAGGTATGCGAACATTAAACAAACTCCTTGGATTAAAACATTTAATGAATTTGAATTATTTATATTCTATATAGGATATACCAGAGGCGCCAGAGCGTAAAATGACTGATACCATAAATGAACCAATTATGTTATGCCGCTTTCCACTTGCTATCAAATCTTTCTATATGGCAAGATGTCCCGAAGATAGCAACTTAACGGAAAGTGTCGATGTACTTTTACCGAATGTTGGCGAAATTGTTGGTGGTTCTATGAGGATTTATAACTATGAAGAGCTACTTGAAGGTTATAAACGCGAGGGCATTGACCCAACACCATATTACTGGTATACTGATCAACGTATATATGGCACGCAACCTCATGGTGGATACGGTCTCGGCTTGGAACGTTTTCTTTGCTGGTTACTCAATCGCTATCATATTCGTGAAGTTTGTTTGTATCCACGTTTCCTTGATCGTTGCAAACCTTAAATGACGCTAAGTTCATAACAACACAATTAAAAACACATAGAAAAGCTTGCATTTGAATAAAACAATGTGCTTAAATGTATTCATTTAGTTGCATTTAGTAACAATACACAAAATAAGATTTACTCATCAAAAATTTCTCTACAGAGATCACTATTGTCTAAATTGTCCTCATCAAACGTTACGTCGCCCTCAGCATCTGCATCTTCCTACAACAAAAAAACAAAAAAAAATTTGTCAAATTTAAAATAATTCAAATATAAAATTTTAACGCACCGCATTATCTACTGAGTCCAATTCAGCATGTATCTGACCTTTACGATAATGATTTCGTAATAGTTCTTTAATGCAATTACTCATTATTTGACGCACTTGCATGTCAAAACCTGCCGGTAGCCAGCCCGTTTTCTCATTACATATTGCGCCAGTACGTGGTGACGGTATCTTCTCGATCATCTCTTGAATTTTCGGCATATGTAAATCACAATACTAAAAATGTAATTATTGCAAAATGATTCGAACGTATACGTCTATATATATAAACAAATAAACTTATAACGCTTACTCTTAAAATACATTGCCGAGAGCGTGGTAATTTGTTTTCTTCGAAATATGGATAATTTATATCTTGTACCAATTCGCTAAGTTCATATGGACTTTCATTTTGCTTTTTCAGTTGATCCTTCCTGTTTGCCACCTTTTTTGGAAATACTATTATTTTAGTTTATTATTTATTTTGAATTTAAAAAAAAATTACTTACGAATTCGGACATTCCAGAACGGAAGCGTAGTCGATAGTCAAATGTTTGGTAATAACGACTCTTGAAATCCTTACGCGGATCATAGCCATAACGTACGTATAATGTGCGCCATGGTCCCGTCGAAAAGTAATAAGACAGGGATGGTACTATACATTTTAGTTTTTCATGCGATACACCAGATTCGTAGAGTAGACCTATACGTGTCCAAATTGGGCATTCCTCAAATAACTACAGACATATATAAACAACAACCCAAAAATTAAATTTAAAAAAGAAAATCGCTAACTTCGATTGCACCGAAGCTATATTGATAGGTCAGTTTGCATGGCGGTTATATGCTATAGTGGGCCGATCTGAACAATTTTGTCGGAGATTGGACAATAATCCATGCCAAATTTCGTGAAAATATCTCGTCAAATAAAATAGTTTTCCATACAATGACTGAATTTTGATCGGTCATTTTGTATGACAGCTATATGTTATAGTGGTCTGATATCGTCAGTTCCAACAAATGCGCAGCTTTTTTAAGGAGAAAAGGACGTTTGTAAAATTTCAGATTCACGTATATACAGACAGACGGACTCAGCTCGTCACGCTGACCATTTATATACATATAGTATATTTTTTTTTGTCTCCGATGTTTCCTTCTGGATATTAGAACCTTTCTGGTAAACCGAGATATGTAACTTTTTATACCCTTCCATACCATACGAAATGCACCTGTGTAGGGTATTATATCTTCAGGGCAGCCGAGGTTAACGGTTTTTCTTGTTATAAAAAAAATAAAATTATAGAAACTCTTCATATAGTTAGATATAAGTGGGAAGACATATTGCACTGAGTTGTTGGATTTTTTAAAATTTTGTGGGAGAGTGAATACTTTTCACTTCATGTCGACTTACACTTTTCACTTTCTGAAGTTGTTCATCAGACACATATTTGATACGCATTCGTTTAACAGTTTGCAAATCTGGACGTTCTGGAAAAACATCTGTCATACTGAATGGCACTATGTCGCGACTGTCATATGTAGATTTTTGTATTACACCCAGCACATCATTTTGGCCGTTATCCTGTTGATCACCACGAAATATAGTTGAATTGATAGTGTCGACTCGTGCAAAAATTTGTGGTAAACTCACTAAAGGCAAATCTGTTTGCCTAAGGAATTTCAATAATTTTATTATAAATAGAATAAACTGCGTGTTTTATTTGAGCTTACGCAAAATAATCTGTATCCGTGACGGATTGAGGAAGCAAGCTTGATAAATTAAACGTTAAGTTTAAATCATTTGGCTGCTTATACAAAGGCAGGAATTGAAAATCACATAAGCCTAAAAGAATTAATAAGATTATTTTAATGTGATTACATCTGCAACGGTAAGTGATGTTATAAATTTATTTAATAAAAACATTAAGACTTCATTAACTTAATATTGAACAACTTCAAAAAAAAGTGTACATCAAAAAATAAATTCAAATAAAATATATTACAAAAATTCATAAATATGTAAAACTTACTGTTAAATGTAAAAGTTCGTTTGCAATGTCCAAGAATGCACAAGCGATATTCGGCAGGTAGAGTACGATTTTTTTTGGAACGTCGTACTTTCACAGAAATTAGCAAACCGGCGCTTTGATCAGCATCGCCACCCGTAACTTTGTTGTACGGATTCTTCGGATGGAAACGTAGCTCTAAGCGTTTCTGTTCACACCCCAAAGACTTTCAAGGAACAAGCAGCATTACAAGATTTCGAATTACTTAATAAATGCACAGAATTTTTTGAAGGTACTAAACACTCACCTGGGAGATGTTAATTATTCCGCCTAGTGTCTCCACCATTTTGTCTACATTAACCACTTTTCCTGGGTACTCAATTACCTCCAATTCCTTGTTCGAAGAGAAATTCACTTGTTTTGTAGTCATATTGCAAATTAAACAAATATTTTGTTTACATGCTTATATACGGATGGGATTTGAAACTGTTTACAAATTTTCGACACATTATTTAGTTATCGAGTATACATTTTTTTTATCGATATAGAAGGCTGTTTACAAACTAATACGACTTTTGTTCATTAGCGATTTCTTTTTGACATTGACCATTGCGTTCATGCACAACTCAAGTCGAACATTTGTCTACATTTTCTTTCATGTAATTTTATATATTTTTCTTTGGCTATATTTATTACATTTATCATACTCATATTTGCAACTTTTATACCAAATTAGATAATAAATTTAAATTTCTAAGCATATTCGTATACTTTATCATAACTGTGCAATTGCATTCATACAGGCACTAGCGGTGCTGCTATTAAAATTGAAATTAAGAAACCTTACTTAATTATTTATGACAAATAAACGTATTGAAACTATAACCAATCATTTCAGTAATAGTTGACAGTTATGTGAACGTATGGCTACCGTCGTTAAAAGTATCGATAAAAAATTTTCATCGAAATATCAACAATTCTATTATTTTTATTGTATCCTCCTCGTGTTAGTTCAACAATTCAATTAAGAAACCAAAATAAAAAATGGGTGCTTTAGCAGAAGTACGTATTATTCTAAAATCAATGTATTAAATAAAACGAATTGCTTTTAACAGGTTGCTGGTGATGAAAATAGCGGCGAAGGCTCACGCACATTTGTGTTCCAAAACGAGGGGCATACTTTGGGCAATGCTCTGAAAACAATCATTAGCAGATATCCAGATGTTGATTTTTGCGGTTACACTATTCCTCATCCAACCGAAAGCAAAATGCATTTTCGCATACAATCAAATCAAAATAGAGCTATTGACATTTTAAAACGAGGCTTAGATGATTTAGAATCCCTTTGTGATCATACCATCAGCACGTTCGAGTCGGAAGTTAAAACGTATATTGAAACAAATAATAAGTCTGTGGTAATGTAATACAAATTTGGATTTTAATTATGTGTATAAGTTTGTTTGTAATAAATGATATAATTAAGTAGCAATGCGCATTTTTTTCGGATCATAATTTGGTTTCCGAAGATGATGATAGTTAGGTAATACTTTCCTTAGAAAATCAATCTGAAGGGTTTGTGACTGTAAATTAGAATACAATAAATTATTATATATATTTATTATTTGGATTGCATTTATAAAAGTGTTAATATATAGACAATTATAGTTTCCAAGGAGCTCATTGTTTAGGAAAAAAAATTTGCAAAAGTCCAAATATATTAACACTTTCTTAAAAGTATATGAATTTTTACCCCATGTTTATCGATGGCCTCTCTTTGCAAACAATTTCTCCCATAAATCACAGTATTTTCAGGAAGTTTCTGTTCCGAAATTAATCTAACACCAGCACCAATTATACAACCGCTTGAAACGAAGACGGAAGGTCCCACGTAGCACTTGCTCTCAAACACATTCTTTTCTCCAATGTGACATGCTTCCACCCTGCTGCTTACTTCAAATACGTTATTTGCTCCAATGTTTAAAGTTCGCACTTCAGCTGCTGGGTCAATTTTGTTATCTGGCGGCAAACGGAATGCAATTGTGGAGTACTCTTCCACTATACAATTTTCACCTAACACAATAGGTCCAGCTTCAGCAATTATGGTAGCACTGGGGTGTATTACACACCCAGGAGAAATGGTGATGTCACCAATCAAGCTACAGTCCTCACAAACAATAGCTTTCGCCATTATTTTAATCCTACATTAAAAAGAAATATAAATATAATCTGTTTTCTCAATTTTATCATAATATATACTCATTGTGTTCCGTGTGGGACATGTTGTAAAATTATATTTTCTGTATATTTTTATTTAGTTCTGATTATTTACACTTTTTGTTTTGACATTACAGCCAACTCGATAATCGATTATATTAACGGGAACAGTGGAATTGTTTACAACAGGTCTTCACGTACACAATTTATCTAATTGAATCCCTAAATGTACTGTATTTTCCATAGCTTTTGTACAACATTTTTAGTTCTCAATTAGTAATACATCTACGAATTAGCTCACGGGTTTGGTTCACTTAGTATTATTATCGGTAGAGGACAGTAATTGTTTCTTTTTTTGTAATATTTTTCAGATATATTTTTTAGATAAAAATTTAAATTTCGGTGAAGCATTTTGTTTCAAGTGCGATTATATTACCATTAGCAAGGGAAAGTATTTCTCGATTCCCACAACAGCCGGTTCTATGTTATCGGAATAGAACCGGATTTTATCCAAGCAAAGGCCGCAATTTCGGCGATCTAACAACGTTTGGATCGATATAAAAAATTAAGTATTTTAATATTTTTACGAATATATTTTAAAATTAAACTAACTATAAAGTTTTTAATATCGCATAAGCAATTTACCAATTCGCTGACAGCTTAAGGATAACAAAGAGATTTGACACTTGCCTATTACACCACACTAAACTCTATGAGATCTAATTGGTATCTAACTTTTATATAATTTTATTAAAACCTTGAAAATAAGTAATGTAATACCTGAGTTATATTTAAATAAACATTTTGAATTACTTGAATGAGATAATGGTAAGGAATAGTAATACAAGCAATAATTTATATATGCTGTTATTTCCCAGAAAGTTTTATTACTCCATTTTTCAGTATGGTTTTAATTAAAAGAAATGATTTGCAAGTGTTTTATTTTTTATTCTATGAAGAGTCCTTGAAAATATGGTTATAAAGAGAGTAATTAATATATTTGCATGTCAATATATATTATGCTATGAACGATTGGCATAAGCACATGTGCCAATTAGGTCTGTAAATGGGTAACTCTAATTTGAAGAAATACAACGCTGAATATTTCCGTATTAATGGCGCTGCTTGAATGTTTCGGTTCTATTCCTCTTTCAGTTTTTGTTTAGTAGCTGTTGCAGTTAAATCTATAATTACAACGTAGTTTGTTCGCGCGTGGGCACTGTTTTAAAGTAATACTTGTAAATTAAAATTAAGGAAAAGTGTAGAATTTATAAATTCAAACAATGCATTTTACAAATTAAGACTTTTTGCATCCAATGAAAAGAAATAAATAACCAAACTTTGAATTAAAAAAAGAACAAATACAAAGTGCTGAGTACAAAGTTTTTGTTCTAGCATTCGTCTTTGCGTCATACAGCCATAGTAGACGAGAGAATTCGCTAAAAAGCGACGCGAGTAAAAATCGCCCTGCCTTGTGTGCTACTTCGTCTGTTCCAACTTAAACAACTGCAAAATACAACGGATCGTAGGCACTGCTGGCGCAACACACGTTTAAAAACTTTACATTTCTAATTGTAGCCAAAGGTGGCTGCCCTATAGTAATATTCCCTAGAAGTCATATATACATTGACATGGTCATAGCGAAGTTCTCAGGTTTGTCAAATTCCATATCATTTTTGTTTCTAATAAATTTATACAAACATCCAGAAATGTGTATAGTTTTAACATGTGAAAAATGTACCAAACTAAGGCGGAAGTGAATTACTCTGTGTCATATACATATGTACATATGCTTTGGGTGGTGAAGATAAGTTTTTGTTTTCATTACTTTGTTAGTAAAAAATTCGTGTATCTATAATACTTGCACAAATACACACACGCAGAAATTCTGTTTAATACAACTTAAAAACAGTTTAAACAAATCTAAGCATCGGTTAGCTCGTGTTTATCAAACGTTTAGTGAAAGAATATTAATAACCCAGGAAGTTACTAAATTTTAGTGCTTAAAGCCAGTTTCAATGTGCCTTTTTAGTAGCTATATATACAAACATATATATATATATATATATTTATCATTTCGCATCCTAAACTACACAGACGCTGTTTGCGGCATTATCAATGCACCCCGGTTTCTGCTGTAATACGAATGTTTTATTATATTTTATACAGTTCTACGGGTGTACATATTCGCATAATAGCATAGATGGCCCCTGCCACAGACAAAACAATATATATATATATATACATATAATATATAAATATATACATTTATATGTATATATGTGAAAAAACAGCAGCTAGACAGCAACGAAAACGCGCCATAGAAATGCTTTTTCTCGTTCTTGGAGAGAGAGAAGCATAGAGATTGTGGATGAATGAGCGGGTGGACGGACGGAAAACAAGAATACGTGTTTTCTTGTATATGGGATGTGGATAGTGACTAATTCGCGTCATCGTGCGTTCCATTGCCAATTCGTTTCCCCTTTGTGCAATGGAGTTCACATCAGAACCAACGGCTATGGCTAGCAGAAACTGCACTGTCTGATGGCTTCAGTTCCACTTCCTCCTACATTCTCATTAATTTTGTATTTATTTATTTTTGTTGTTTTTGGTTCCTTGCATGATTTCTGCCCTTATTGTTTTGTTTGTTTGCAGAGTTACCATTTTATTGTTTCTGTGTAAATTTAAAATTTTGTGGTTGCTGTTTACACAAAGTTGGAATATTATATGTGTGTTACGAAAAAATTTCTAACGTTTTTAAAAGTGCGCGAATATTTCTAATATTTTTTGTTCATTTGTGTGTTGAGGGACACGATATTCCAAAAATGTATATATATCTTTTATATCCAATAATATTTCAATATCGAAATATAAACTACGAAAAACTTCAAATCTTTTGTATGCTGTTGGCTGCAAAAATTCTGTATTCTCATGGCATCTCTGTATATGATGAGTTTTATTCAGACAATGCAACATCGTGCATTTGTGTGCGTATATGTGTACGTATTGCATTATTGTCGGTTGCAAGCGTAGGTAACTGCGGGAAATATGCCTGTAACTTCGGTGGGCTTTTACGTTTAAAGGAGCAGCAAATGGCGGCTCTCTTCTGCCATGCTCTATACTCCCTTTTTGAAGAGCAATACAAAAGAACATTTTGTTTAGTCCGACAACCTTTGCTTCTTCCCCTTTTTTCTGTTTTCGTTAAATTGTCACCCTTCCGTTCAATGTTGCTTTTGATTGTTTATATACAGTCGGCATAATCCTTGTGTGTGTTTGTATGCGTGTCCACGATATAGTTTGCCCAACTTTTGTAAAGAAAGAAAAAATGAAATAAATAAGTGTAATGTAAGTGCATATCGAATCATATACATATTAAAAGTTGTAGTAAATAAAGTTGTAGCGTTATAATTTGTTCCTTAATTAGTTTTCGGGAGAATACTGCTTTGATGATAGTCCTTAAATGGTTATCATATATAAAATATCTATATAAATGTGTGTCCGTTCAGTTTATGTGTACCCATTAATCTTGGAAGCTTTGTGTTTTCAACATATCCATATAGTATACATAAATCTGCATACATATGTATAGAATTTGTCAGTTAGCATATGTGGATCTTATGTTAGAAAATCCAAGCGTGTTCCAGTATGCAGAACCAACTTGGACGCTGCAGACTGGTTGGACGTTGTGCTGATTAGATCTTCTGCTTCATGGTCTTCATAAAATCAATGTGTCAAAAACTGAGGGACTAGTTCCGGTATGGTAGACGATCAGACCGACATGGCTAAATCGATTCAGTTCACGTTGATCATTGATATACATACATGTATATACTTAGTTTAGTTAAATTTAGACGAAACGTTTAAAAATCTCAACTAAAATTAGTCCCATTGACTACAATATCCATTATTTTCAAAAGCTTACATTTATACACTTCAAATAAAAACATTTCCCTCTTAAGAACATCAGCAGAACTTTCCTATAATACGTCAATGATATCGACGTAATTTCAGAAGCTACTAACTTCAGACAAGTATTGAAGGCCATTCACAGTGGATTAATAGCTCCCGTTCATTGGTTCCCTCCACATGAATATCGTCCTTGGCGTCGAAATACCATCTGCAGCAGACCGTGAGCTCAGGTTGACGCGTGAAACAAGTGTGACCCATGCACAACTTCATTCTGGATATTGCAATAGAATAAACACCTACCTATCCATAATTGGCCCTGGCATACTAAACATATGGTACATACATAGAAGTATGTTCAGCATGCAAAATTAACCACTTTACATGCTCCACAAATCCAATTCACATACCCCTTTCATCAAACCTGTTCTTGTTGTTGTTGTTGTAGCAGCAGAATCCTGCCGAGTTGACAGTCTTTGGCCGGATAAAAATCCGGGTCCGTTCTGGTTACGTAGACCCGACTCTCGTGGGAACGGTTTCATCACATCTCTTTACTTATGGTTCGACGCTGTCTGTCGAAACATACCGTTTCGTGGACCTACACGTAAGTGACTTCGAACAAACAGGGTCTAGATCAGGGCTGACTCCGAAAAGCATACATCTTTTACAACAAATTTTTAAGAACAACACGCACACTGATAACAACAAGCAAGTTGACTTGCGTTTGGGCACCGTCTGGCTCGTGGTAGCTTACTCGAAACTCGCGGGTTAATCATCATTCATGGCTGACATTGACTCGCATTCTCTTAGCTATAAAAACATTGCTTTGTTGTTGTGGTGTGGCTCCGGAGTTAAATTTTTTTAGTCACCCCTGCTATTAGCACCCCTATATTAGCTACAAAAAATAATAACAATAAAACACTATTTTTATTAAATCAATATGAAATATAAAACACTAAGAAAAATATTTCTAGGTTGTCCATTTTAATTTGTTACTACAGTAAAACTGTCGAAAATCAGGAATTAATGACCTGAGAAGTGGTCTAATTTTTACCTACTAAGTTTAGTCGCCACTCCTTAGGATAGAATAGAAATAAACTAAGCCTTATTGTACTGAGACCTAAGGTCTATTATTTATCGATCTAAATAGGGTTATATGAGGAATCAGGTGCTCAAGAGTCGCAAAACTGGCTTCCGATCGCATCATCATAGAAGCAGCAACTGAGCGGACAAGTCCGTCAGCCAAAACCAGACTTCAAAGGTTCAAATTAGACTATAACCTTTGCCTAAACTTTTTGGCAAGTTTTTTTTACAATACTAGTATAATAACAACCTTAAACAAAGCTCATATCGTTTATAATTGTTATTTTGAGCGGTTTTTCCATCGGTTATTTGAATATGTTGCTTATATTTATAGCTAAGTTTTGGAACTGGGAAAAAAGTTCTGCAGTTTGTACTGTTGTTTTACAATCTAAGGGAAATGGGCATATAAATTTTTCATTGAGTTCAACCTTCTGACCTGTCATAATGGCACCAGGTTTATGCTTCCTCTCGAATGAAATAATTGTTTTGTCTCCAAACAAAAACATAATCGAAATTTATTTCTTGTTCAACTTTTTTCTAATGATCAAGGGCAAGGGGCAATAATTTTCGATTTGTGCATCTACAAATATAATATATGTAGCTACAAATTAGGGCGTAAGTAGGTTTATAATAATTCAATTAAGTTGAAATAAATTCTTCGTACATAAATTTTAGATAAATTGGAGGCGTCGAACTGTCCTGTTGTTGTACAATAGTAAGAACAGTTCAACGCTCTAAATTTTTATTTAGTGTCAATGCTCTCGAAAACAGAGGCCACATAATATACCTAAGCACATATATGTGTATGTATGTATATAGTGATGTATAAAAGTTATTTAGTGTTTTTGTGTATTTCTGTGTATACGATTCGCAACTCATTAAAATATTCAATTAAATTTCTTATGGATTAAAATAATAGGTTATATGGTATAAGTGGAGATGTGTTTGTGTGTTAGTGTTCACGAAATGTTTATAAACCTTAGTGTGTGTAGCATTTTGCATTTAACACTTCTACGCTTAAGAAGATAGTAGAAGCTAATGGGACATATCTGCATATGTACATACATATGGTATAATAGGTAGCATTCACAACGGTTTATTTAATTGTTGTCACAGCAAGGTGGACGCCGTAAAAGGCAATGGGTAGTCAAGTACGCACAAAACTACTTTATTTACCTATATTTGTACTGTATTTATATTTATGCTGCATGTTGAATAGAAAAATTAAAAGTGTTTTGTGTTTTTGCAATTACATTTTTATGCGTTTAATCTATCATTGGTATTAGAAATGCTTGTCGAAAATAGCCATGACTTTTAAATTCCAACTGAACTAAACACTATGCGCTTGTATGCGTTCTGTATATTACATACAGCTCCTGTAATTCTAAGAGAAGCAAACTGTTATTAAAATGTATGTATTATATAAATAAGTAAAAACAATTCCTGCTCCTGTGAAGCAAAACTCACATATGTACAGCTGTGTTCACAAAAATAGCAGTGCGAGAAATGCAATCAAGTAATGTTATTTTTTTTCAAGTTCCGTTACGATTATTCCAACGTCTACGCATTGTTGTTGTAGAATGAAATGTGTATATGGAAGAAACGAAAAAATCCCGTTAGATTTGCAAGATTTAAGCAAATGAACAACTATTTTTGCTAGAAGCACCAGTCTTTGGCTGTTCATTAAAATAGCAGTGCGTATTATGATAAGCCAAAAAAATTTTGTTAAGATGTTTAATTGATAAAAAGTAAGTGGTTTTGTGTTAGTGACTATTATTAACATTAGAAAACACTAAAATAAATTTATATTTTTTAACTTAGTGGGCAGGGGCAAACATTGTACTCCTGAAAAAAGAAGTATTATAGTGCAACTAAGAAACCTGGGAAAAACATATAAAGACATGTAGATGTTCTGCTAAAATGATTCATAATGCTTTAAACTTTAAAGAAATGCCCGAAATCGTGGTATCCAACGTAAAATCACGCCTCATGAGGACCGATCTATTGTGCGATATAGCAGGGCGCAGCCTTTTGCATCGTCCAGCAAGATAAAAAATGACTTAAGATTGAATGTTAGTGGCGTTACTATTCGGCGACGTCTTAAAGAACAAAATCTCAAAGCGTGCCATCTACGAAAAGTTCCACTGTTAGCCACCAGACATGTCAAAGCACGTTTGGAGTTCGTCAAAAGTCACCTTAATTGGCCCATTACAAAGTGGCGAAATATTTTATGGAGTGACGAAAGTAAAATTGTGTTATTTGGTGAAAAGGGCTCGAGACAATATGTTAGACGTCCACCTAACACAGAGTACGATCCTAGGTACATTTTGAAGACAGTTAAACACGGCGGATTGAGTATTATGGTATGGGCATGTTTTTCTTACAGTGGAGTGGGCCCTATATTTATGATTGATGGGATCATGGATCGATCTGTATATGTTAACATATTAGAAAATGTTATGTTTCCTTATGCCAATTGGGAAATGCCACTAAAATGGACGTTTCAACAAGATAACGACCCCAAACATACAAGCAAACTAGTCAAAAGCTGGATGGCATCAAAGCGGATCGATCTTATGTCATGGCCTGCGTAGTCTCCGGATTTAAATCCAATTGAAAACCTATGGGGAGATGTTAAACGATATGTTCCAAATGCAAATCCAACATCTCGATCACAGCTTTGGGAGCGGATCCCTGTCAAGCGCTGCCAGGACTTGGTGGATTCTATGCCTCGCAGATGCCAGGCCGTAATAAAAAATAATGGGTACACGACTAAGTACTAACCCAAGCAAACAAATTAAAATAGTTTTTTGGAGTTCAACAATGTTTTTTTCAACTAATTCCACTGTTTTCATTACTCACTGCTATTTTTATGAACAGCTGTAAACAGCACTTTTTTGTTTAAATTAATAATGTAAAAAAAATTTACAACATTTTGAATAATAAATTGATTTGTTCACAAAGTTAAAACAAAATTAAATTTGTGAACATTCATTTACTTTTTGATATATAAAATTAAGTTTAAAGTTGCAGCTCATGAGCACTGCTATTTTTATGAACACAGCTGTATATATTTACAAGCTTGTAACTTTCTTGCTTTTTGGTATGTAAGCGACCAGTTATGTTCAGCCAGTTTGTATGACAGCTATATGCTATATTGGTCCGAAGCCAAATTTTGTGAAGATATCTCGTCACTTACACAAGGACCTTCTTCCTATCGTTCAGTCTTGGGAAGAAAAAGACGTGTGCAAAATTTCAGATCGATATCTAAAGGCCTAGTTCGCGTATATACAGAGGGGTCCGCTCCGGTTACGCTCAATTATATGAATATACATTTATTATTTTGTAATCCCTAAAATCTTAATAAAAAAATTTCAAACTCCTGATTTCAAATAACGGATGGAAAAATAAATTTTTAATCCCAAATACTGGAATGAAAAAAATTAAATATAATGTGTACATATATGTGTATTAATCAAAAGTTTATAATTAAAAATAAAAAAATGTTTTTATACTTTTGCAACATGTTGCTACAGAGTCAGGATGACTAGACGAGTTAAAAATCGAGTGACTGTCTGTCTGTCCATCTGTGAAAGCGATAACTTGGGTAAAAATTGGGATATCGTGATGAAATTTGGTACACATGTTGGCCTTGGTCCTTGGCATCCAATGAGGGTATTGTAGATGGACGGAATCAATGGACCGCCACGTCTACAAAACGCCATTAATTGAAAACCGATAAAGTTCCATAACTAAGCTCCACAATAAAGTACAAGACTGTTATTTGGTACAAGAAATTGCATTAGCAAGGGGCGTCTATGGTTAAAAAAAAATTGGCGTTAGCCCGCCGTCTAATAGGTTTAATGTTCTTAATGTTTTGCCTACACCTGAAGGTATTTCCCTGTTTTTAATCCTGGCAAGATTATGAAATGTTCGGTTACATCCAATCTGAGCACTTCCTTACTTGTTAGATTTACATTTTTTCAAGCTTGCGTACTTCATGTTCTACCATTATAAACTAGAGCTCGCACAGAACCATCATCTTCAATACTAAAGAGCAGTGATCGGGAAACTTAAACATTCAAACGATTAATATTTTATCAGTTTTTAAGTCTGATTTTGGGAGTAAAAATAAAATTTTCAATTGCATTTGCACCCTAAAGGGAAACTTTTATTGGATTTTTTTGTCGATCATAAAGCAAATTATTATTAACTTACGTTATTTTACGTACGGAAAGGACATAATATTAATCAATCTCTAATAATTACTATTTTCTTGACATTTTGATTATATTTAATACATTTTTTTCAAGCGTGCCAACGTTTAATCCAATTTTTCTTACACCATCCTTCCTTCAGTGGATTTTTGTTTTTTTCAGTTCGGTAATTTTTAGAGCGTCATTAGCGATTGTTGAACAGTTTCCACGTCAAATGCATGGACCTCAGCTACGTTGTCAAGAATATCTTTGTTGAAATAGATTCAGCTCTTTTAGTACGATTCTAGCATTGACACGCTTCAAGCACTGTGTCTTAAACATTTTAATATTATTGTCATTACCAGAGGTGGATGGACGACTCGTATGAGGTAAGTTTTCGATGGCTTCACGACCTTCGCAGAGTGTTTTGTGCCAATCAAATACTTGTGTTCGTGATAAAGTGGACACCTTAAACACTTCTGAAACATTTTCAACGATTCCGTACTAACAAATTTTTAAAGATCATACTAAAGATCATAAAAACTAGATAATTTGATGTATTGTAACATTTAAATACAATATACAAATCGATTCAAGAATGAAATTAAGGCAGCTTGTGGGATTCTATACAGGTCACCGCAGGCTGCGATGTCATCTGCACAGGTTAGGGTTCTGCAAAGAGCAGAGACACCAGAGCACATACTTCTGGATTGCCCCGTAATCGCAAGAAGTCAGAGTCAGGCTATCGGGCAATTAAATCCGGTGAGAGAACACATTACCACCATTAACCTAGCATCTTTACTAAGCCTCTTTGATTTGTCATAATTTTAACATTTAAATTGATCAGCATTTAACACAACGAAACCGTTCGCCCCACAGTCGGGTCTACGTAACCGGAACGGACCCGAATTTTTATCCCGTTAAGGACTATTATTTCGGTATTATTCTTCAAATTTATTTCAGGAATGTTTTTTGCCGCTACAACAACAACGAATTTCGCATAGTTCAGAAAATAAGCAATTAAATTTTGATAATTTTTCAGCTAATGTCAAAATCTAACTTTATATATTTATTTCATTTTATTTATTGTTGCAATTAGTTCAGTTTATGTTACTTATACTTAAGAATAATTGAAGAAATGTATATATGCTGATATTTTAAAACTAAACTGGGGTTCAACTTCCTAAGGTTGCTACTATAATAATTAGTTAACTTTGGGCGTCAAAAGTATACATATGCCCACTTACTACATATGTCTGTATATAAAAGCTTATGTTCATATTATTGTATTTGGACATGTTGAGATGACTTCATATGTGTTTGAATTTATGCGTATGTCATCTTCTATTCTCTTCTTAATGGCCATTGGCAAAAAGGTAAAACTTATTGTTTTTGTTTTTGTATTTTAACTTACATATTTAATGAGTCAGAAACAACAGAATGTTGGCAGAACATTTTGTAGAATGGCAGTGTGTGTATACATCCACAAACAATCCACAGTAAGCAAATTTATGTATAAAAATACATATTAAAAAATGTTATAAGAAGTTAATGCTATAAACCTTCTGTGAAGAGATGTGAATGTACTCGGTGTTAGACAATAGCAGCATTTAAGTTTAACATACATACGTACATACATATTCTCAATCCCACACTTGTGTTATCAAAGTAACAACCCTGTTGGAATACGTTGAATATAGTACATTTATAGTTGGATAATTTGTCTGATTTTGGCTATACTTTTGTAAAGTATAAATATAGGTTTTCATCTAAATGCGACATATTCATGTCATATAAAGTTCAATTTTTAAATATACATTAATACTCTTTTTAAACTATTCTCTGTCGTCAAAGGTTTGGCGAGGCATATTTTGATGTAAAAAATAATTTATCTGTACTATTTAATTTATTTACCAATAATATAGAGTTTCTTCCAGTTTCTTAGAGCTGTAAGCAATTTGGGTGTTACCATAGGGTACCACTGGCTCTGCTTTTAGTATATTTTTTGTTTGTTTTAATATCAGCCTTTGGTTGGGTAAAATCCCGGGCAATTCCGGCAACGCAAATCTGGCGATTGTGGCAATCGGAACTGTCAAACAAATTGGGCGTTTCCATAAGAATTTAATTTTGTAAAATACTAATAGTATTTGTAAATTTAAAATCAAAAAATATATAGCCAATCTCTGAATGTGGGAAATTGAATTTTTTACCCAAACAGTTTAGTGTACGTCCCTATTACTTAATATTCTGATGTTAGCTGGCCTCGATTCGCCATTTCTCTGCTCGTTATTTTTGGTTTCTCTTCTTTTTTCAAAAAAATTACATGCAAAAGCAACAACAAAGTTATCGATTTGAATTCGTACAAGAGAGTGCGAAAGAGAGTCGTTAAATTGGTATAACCCTTTATATTAAATAATTTAGATCAGTTTTACTATTGTGATGGTTCAAATGACAGATGAAACCACACATTTTTTTAGTAAAAACTGAAGACTTAAAATCCAAAAATTAATAGAAATCGAATTTAAGGGGTCACTGAAGCTTTTTTTTATCACTTTATTTATATTTGAAATTTTTATATATTTATTATTTAGAGTTTTTATATAAATAAATAAATTGTTTTTTTTTTACAATAATATTTGTTACTTACTTTTTTGTCTTTATAATATTTTATTATTATGATTAATTTTTTATTACCATATTTATATGTGTTTATGTTTAAATTATTTTATATACATATGTATGTATATATTTTTTAAATTTATTTTAGTATATACATATGTATGTATACATTTTTAAAATTTATTTTCTTTATTTACTGTATTATTTTAAATTTTATTTACTTTTGAATTTTTTTATTTTCTATTTAATTGTGTTTCTATTGGTTTATATTCTTTTTTTCCGATTTATTTACTTTTATTATTATTATTATTAACTGTTTTGTGGCAAGTTGTTAACGGAACTAAATAAATAAATCAAAAGAACATATCCGAAATTCCAACTGGGCATTTTGGCATTCATTCGCACGTGTATAAGTTGTAATTACACACACATGTTTGTAAATATGATCTGCTGTTACCACGGCGCATTTAGCCATTAAAAAAAAAAAAAAGAACGTCGATTCGTTTGTGTTGGCATTAAATCATAAGTATATAACAAACGTGCATACCTAAACATATACAAATCGTATATATACATACATGCGTATTTATAGTATATGCATACCTACATATAAAAGTAGAAGGAAATACGAGTCCAATCACACCGAATTTTGAAATTTACAGATTTGCCATGTGTTGGTTGGTTCTGAGCCGTTTTGCCGCTCTTTTTGCCATTGTCCAACTTAAAAGTTCACTATGAACAAAGTCACGGCTTAACGCGAAGTGTATTCGGCTCTGATCCATACACACATATACATGCTTTTTTGCCGATCTATATACTAAGCGTAGCTTAAGTCTGAGAGTAGCTTCGTCCGTACATTTATATGCATGCGCATGTGGTTTCATTTACAGTGAAACATATTTAATTCGAATATCACCTCATGGGAACTATAAATAATATTTGCTTTGCAATAAAATTCATTTTGTTACCGAGTAGAGTTGGTAGTGTTTGTTTATTATTGTTGGTTGTATACGTATGAATGTCCAAGTTAAAGTTGATTTTTTTCAAAAATCTATATATTTTAATAAACATGTTTGTTGTGTTTATTGCTTTAGTGTTAGTTCCACAACAAAAGTGGAAAATAAGTTGAATAAAACAGATTTTCGTTTTGGCGAATATAATTTCTTTCTACTATATATTTCACTTCACAAAAGCTCTACTTTATTGTTTTATAGAATTGATAATTTTGTTTGTTTTTTTTTGTTTTACTCTTTACGAAGTATAGAATATGGCTGCAATACAAACTGACCGATCAAAATCAAATTATTTTTATTTGTGAAGGGTATAAAAGCTGCAGTGTAGCTAACGTTTTTTTCTTGTTTCTTTTTTTCTAACTCTATTTCTATGTAATTTTTTTCATTTCTATCTTTTTGTTTTAATGAAGGTCAATGTTCGTTCTGAAGTTGACGGTTGTTAATTTTATTGTTAATGTTTTTTATACTTTTTGTTATAGAGTGTGTTGTATAGAGTGTAGTGTGGTGTAGTGTAGTGGTGGCTGGTATACATAGTTCACAGTCAAATGCGTAAATCGCTTCGCTAGGAACTGACAAGTTTTTAGAACCAAGTTCGTCTAATTTTTGCCTGTTTTGTGTCTTCTTTGCGCTTGCGACTGGTTTGAGTTTTCTACTCAATTAATTTACTATTAAATAGCAGGAAATATTGGTTAGTGTTTTATGGCTAACGAAATGATGACATTGTGGTGAGTTTATTGCTCTGTTTTTTGTTTCTTAGTCATTTAGTAGCAGATTTTTTGAGAAAGGCTTGGATGTTAATTAGCGTGTGTTTTGATCCAAAGCGTTTTTGAAGAAAGTTATATACATACATACGTTATTAGCATAAACTTTGTTCTGAAAGTAGCAAATATGAGCAGCGCCGTTACTATTTTGTCCATTATAATCATTGCTACTATTATAATTATTAAATTTGTTTATTTTTTTATTTTATTTGCATAAAGTTGAGGGTGAATGCGCATGGTACGATTATTGCGAGTTCAACTTGTTTGTTCTGTGATTTTATTGCTTTTGCTTAGTTGTCTTTTTAGTGGCATAGCCATTTTTGAGGCTACCACTATCGAAACGTATGCATAAGAATATTTATAAATATGTATTCTTTTGCGGTTATTAACACCGCGCTTGCTTCTATACATATGTATATACCAATTGTATCTATTGAATTGTATGAATAAAAGTGCCGTTATAAACGCAATGATGGCATTTATTACAAAAATCACTGACGTTTACTAGTGGTTTATTTTTAGAAATTGATAATTTTGAAAATTACTTGAATTTTTTATATTAAAAAAATTAATAAATAAATCAGTTGCAACAGAAAAGCATATGAAATGGGGTTGTACTATCGAAGAGCAAACAAAATATAATAAATAGAATATGCCAATATTGAAAATCCATTTAATATTCTTTCTTGGTTTTTTATAATTTCTAATTTATATTTCCTATAATAAAATCTTCCAGTTCGTGTTGATTTAGAAAACGACTTTCGTTAAACGGTCGATATGGTTGACATTCGGTTATATACTTGTATTGTTGGATTAAAGAATTTAACGTGTGGTCATAGGATAAAAAATGCTAATTTTGTGAAGTTATGTTATGAATATGTTATTTCGTAGATTAAATTATTATGAGCCGGTGTCAAGGAAACCGTTGTTGTTTTTGTGGTAGCTAAAAGTATTCCCCAAATAATTTTGAGGACTGTTGCTGAGTTCCAGTCTGTT